GCGTCAAGACTGGGTAAGTGAATCCCAAAAAGATAGTACAGTAACACAATAATTCTTTTTCTTTTCTTGCATCTGATTAATAATTTTTAGTTTTTTATTCTGAAATTTTGTGTATGTGACTTTTCTTGGAAGTAATTCTTTCAGATTAAAGCAAACCCTTCCCCACTCCCTCCAAAAAAGAAAATAACTTCTTCAGTCTGATAGAGGCTTTTCTGCGAAACTCTACAGCAAAAATCATGCTCAGTGGAAAAACTTTCCTTTGAGTTCATGAACAAGAGCGAGATTCTCACCACTAATGCCTAATATAGTGCTGGAGGCCCTTGTCGGTGAGGTCAAACAAGTGTTAAGGGGATGCAGATGGGGAGTAAGGACAAAAATTATTTGGCGGTTATAAATGTATGCAAATAACTATGAGAATTAACCATTGGAACTAGTAACAGATTGTAGCAAAGTTGTCTAGAAAGTGAAATACTGTTGTTTTTTTTTTTAAAGATTTATTTATTTATGCATACAAGAGCTGGGGTACAGGCCAGAGGTGTGGGGGGTGAGAGGATTCACCAGATACAGAGCAAGGAACAGAACGGGCAGATCTGCTGAAATACACTGCTGAGGGGAGCAGCCGGAGAGTCAGGAGAGGTCTGCTGCGCCATGTGGGTAGCTCCCTGGCCAGCTGGGGATTGAACTCATGCTGCAGAGCCTGCGGATTGCTTCATAGTGCTGTGCTTAACCCCTTGCGCCATGAGGAGGCCCTGAAATACTATTTTTAACAACTGCAGATCCCACAAAGCACAGAAAGTGTGAAAGTCTCTTGCAGAATAAAGTTTATGATTTTTTTTTTTTAGATTTATTTATGTATATAAGAACTCAGATATAGGCCAGAGGTGGGGGTGGTGAGAGAATTAATTCATCAGAGACAGAGTGGGGAGCAGAACAGGCAGATCTACTGAAACACACTGCTAAGGGGAGCATCGGGCGAGAAAGGAGAGGTCTGCTGCACCATGTGGGTTAGCTCCCTGGCCCGGGATTGACTCAGGCCAAAGTGGTGACAGCACTGAGACTTAACTCTTAGGCCACCAAGGAGGCCCAAGTTTATGATTCTAAATGTGAATACAATAGAAGGTGAAAGACTGGAGTATTCCGGTTCTGGATGCAAAACCTGATATTGTAATGATGTCAGTTCTCCCTCAGACAAATATATGCATTAAAAAATAAAATCCCAGGACCTCCCTAGTGGTGCAGGGGTTAAGTCTCAGTGCTATCAAGCTACTGCCAGCCACTGTGGCATGAGTTTGATCCCTGGCCAGGGAGGTGACTTACATGGCACAGCAGACCTCTCCTGTCTCGCCCGCTGCTCCCCTCAGCAGTGTATTTCAGTAGATCTGCTTGTTCTCACTCTGTCTCTGGTTAATCATCTCACCTCCCACACCTCTGACGTGCACCCCAGTTCTGTATGCGTAAATAAAATCTTAAAAATAAATAAAATCCCAGAGGATTTTTTTTGAAGAATGGCAAATCATTATAAAATTCACAAGGAAGTATAAATACCTACTATTATTTAAATCACTTTGAAATAGATAAACAAAGAGGGGGTGTCACCTTGCCCCAGGTCTTAGTGTTCCTGGGTGCTGGCCCAGGAACAGATACACCAATGAAGTCAGCACCACAGTGTCCGTGAGAAGCTGGTTAATGAGGCGAGTAGCTTTACAAGTCAGGAGGAAAGATGGATTCTGTGCACAGGCACATGATGTTGAAAATTGCGTGACGTTGAAAATTGCTTTAGAATGTAGAGAGAGGTAAAAATGTATCCCTCTCACTGCCTACAAAAAAAATTTTTGAGAGGTTGAAGAGCCAAATGCAAACGTTGAACTATAAAGCCAATAGATAAATGTAGAATAACTGAGAATTTGGGATAGGAAAGATTAAAAAAAAATGAGTTTTTGAATTTTATTTTTTTACAACATTGTCAGTTTTTGGACAGCATTTGATTTCTCCTCTCAGCTGCAGTCCCATAGTTCTCTCACCCCCATAGCATCCATGATCCACCTCCACAGTCCCTTGTGCTCTCCCCTCCCCCGCTGTATGCCTGTGGTCAGCTTGCAAGTTTTGCCTCCAGGCTAATTCTAATGGAGGAACAGACAAATGTGTCCGTCCAACAGGGGATACATTGGGCACAAGTGGGCCCCACAGTATCAGTCTCTGATTTCATTCATTCCCTGTTCCGAACCCCTTCAGAGGCAGTCACAGACAGGTGGCCCTCACTGGGCAGTGCGGACAGGGGCTGAGATTCAGGCCAAGGCAGGATCTTAGGGTACCTAAAGCAGGGTGGCGTGGGTTGATGGTCCTTTATTTTCTTGGTCCAAATTGCTGCCCTCTCAGGGTATTCACTCACTGTGTGGAGAAATATCTTAGGAAGGAACCTTAGATACAGGCATAGGCAGCCACAGGAGCCATGAAGATCTCATAAGTGCGAACCTTGGGCATCCCAGCATCCTCTCTGTCAGGTGAATGAGGGTGCCTGGTCACTGATATCACGCATCTAACCCGGAGTAAACTCCTGAGTCATGCCAGGAGCTTGTTAAAAATCAATTGGTGGCCCAGCCTGGGTCCTGTTTCAGTAGGCGTGAGGCAGCTTGGGAATCTTCGTCTGACCAGTTCCCCCATATGGCCAGGGTTGGGCCTTACTAGGGGCCAGAGGCTCAGAACTCAGCTCCCAGGGGCAGGAACCCCCAGAGCAGGAGGGTGTGCGGGGAGATCGGGAGCAGTATGCACTGAGATGTGCCAGGGGTGGGATGGAAAGAGGAGAGTGAGTTGTCCAGGCTGCAGGTTTGGGCAGAAGAGGAACAGAGGTGCTGGGGGAGCCAAGCTGCATCCAGATCCTCTCCTCTGTGGGTGTCCCCTCCCCTGCCTTGGTGCTGGTCCTGCCTGTCTCCTTCAGCAGCCTGGAGCTCCTTGAGGGCAAGAGCCTCGCATTAATTCATGCTTTCATTCCACACATGCTTATTAAGACATTAACATGCCAGGCACAGGCGTGAAGAGGGCTGGAGCCTGAGTCAGCCCACCAGCGCTTCCAGTCGAGTCCGGAGCAAGCAGGAAGGGCAAGTGGCGCTACAAGGTGTACTGAATTCTGTAATGGAGAACCAGCAGACACCTCACAGGGACACAGATCCCTGCCTTGAGAGATCTAGAAAGACTGCTGGGAAGAAGTGATGTCTAAGATGGTGATGACTGAAGCAGTCAAAGGGGAGTCTGGGAAATAGGTTTAAACCCAAGGAATGGTATGTGCAGGCCTTTGTTGGGGACAGAAAAGGTCAAGGTGGCTGACCTAAAATTTGAACTGGGGGGAGAGTCTGAGGGCTGAGGCCTGGGCCCCTTTCAGGACCCTTGTGGGCGAGTTTTTACCGTGTTGCTGGGCAGTGTAGTGGGAGCAGGGGAGGACCTCGCCCTCCACCGGCCTGGAAGCCTGCTTGGGACCTGAGCCAAGGGAATGTGTGGTGACAGGCTGCCCCCCAGCTGAGCTGCTTGGGCTGAGTCTAGCTCCTGCCCCTTTTTCCCAGGATTTCATCCCCATCACTTGCCGCTGTTCCTGGGGACTGGACCAGCTCCCTCTCGGAACCAGGCAGTATCTTCCCTTCCTCTTAAGTTCAGGCCACTGCCTGGAGCTGGAAGAAGGCCATGATACCTGGTGCTCAGACGCGCTGAGCCCCGCTGAGCCCCGCTGACCTCTCAAGGCTCTTAAAATTTGTGCTTCTAAGAAAATTAAATTGCTCTGTCCCCTCCTTTGGGAATGGTGAGTGGTCTTGGTCAGGGTCAGCGCTGGGCCCTCAGGGCCTCCCTGCAGCCGGCCTATGGCCTGGCCCTAGGCAGGTGTGCACAAATGTGTGAGACGTGGCCTCACCTACCCCATCCCTGGGCAGTGAGCCTTCTGACCGCGGATGGAAAGGACAGGCCCTTTCTCCACCTTGGAAGGGCCAAGGCCCACTGCGAGTGGGATCTCAGGCTGACCTCATGCTCAGGGGCCTTGGGCACAGAGACAGTGGTGGCCAGCATTTCCATTTTACTGTTTCGTGCCAGGTGCCAGCACCCTGTTACCCTTCTGTTTGTTCCAGGAAACCTTTTAGTGGTGGGAGTTGAGGAGGTGAGGTGGGGGTTGCTGGAATGAGAAGCTCCACAGTCATATTTGGAGTCTGAGACCTTTGCGGGGAGGGGGTTAACACCCCCAAAATCAAGCATGTGATGTAAAGGTTAGCCAATAGTGTTGTCACCTTACCTCCTGAACTCCTGCCACATCCCTGATAAGGGGAAGACTCAGCCAACAGGCCCAGTGCTGAGGGCTGAGATGAAATTCTGCTGTGTGACTATAGGACGTGGCTGCTGGGGAAGGACTAAGGCTTGGGTGAGCAGGGGCGGCCCCTCGGCACCTCCACCATACAGTCACCAGTGACCGTGACATGATGCCCTTTGAGGCCTTTCAGTGGCGAACGTTACCTTTGGATTCTTTACAGAGGCAGAGGACAAATAAAGAGGCCATGGAATAAAATGAGAGGGATAGGATTTCAAGAGTGAACCCAGGTGTTACCCCCCCCAAGTTAGGGGCTTCTGTGCCTCTAATGCTTGGTATACAAATGAGCCCCAGTCCCGCCCCCTTGCGGAAGCGGGGGTGGGGGTGGGGGTGGGGGGTTGGGGGTGGGGTGGGGGTGGGGAGTAGAAACAAGGGATGAAGCAGCACTGGAGTCCTAAGCTCTGCCCATGGGCCCAGACCCACCCACATGAAGCCCTGAGCTTGGTGCCATCTGGTTACTTGCCACCTACCCCACTGGAGGGTGCACCCACTGAAGGCAGGGCTGTGAATCACCAGGTCCCAGTGCCCAGTGGGTGTTCCGAGCAGACGGGGAGGAAGAGCAGGGGTTCTTGGGGTTGGAGTGGCTCCCGTGCCACCTGCCTGATTCCCAGGGGTAGGCATGGCTTGAGTCTAATTTCCCCTCTGGGTTTCTGTTCCTTAGATCCACTTTCCGGATGTGGAGCGGGTCGAGTGGGCCAACAAGGTAAGGCCAGGGCGGGGCTGACCTTACCCCAGGCTTCCCCCCTCCACCCACTGCCCCACAGCCCTCTGCGGAGTCCTGCCAGTCTGGATGGGGACCTGCTGTGCACAGAAAGAGGTGGTGCCGGCAATAGCCTTGTCCCGGAGGGCCAGAAGTAGCCCTCTGACACTGGGGTGCTGGTCTTCTGCCTGCCTCTCACCCTTCCCACACTCAGGTTTTTCTCATCACCAGACAATGACTCTCTGCTTAAAATTCTTGCAATTGTGAAATGAATGATTAGCTGAAGTAAAAAAATAGAAAAGGTAGAGAATCATAGAGAACATGGCAGCCTCTCAGGGCTGGGCAGCCCAAGATCATTGCTTCCTTTGGGAAAGAAGGCTGTGGTCCCGACAACAGAGGCTGGATTTTGCCTGGTTCCCTGTCCAGATCAGCCTGCTGTGCAGCCTTGGAGAGGTTGCCCAATGTCTCAGAGCTGGTTCCTCATGTGCAATGGGAATAATTGTGGTTGTGAGGATTAGTGAGGTAATTAGCGCAGTACCCGGCCTGGTACACATGAGCTCCGCAGTACATCACTGTGAGTGCTGCTGGGTCATGTGGGAGAGGCCCCTGGACTCTGCTTAACCCCTAGCAGGAATAGGCTTGGTATGAAAGAACTTCCTGACGGCCTTGATCTCACCCAAAAATATCACTGTCACGTGGAGCAAAGCTTCCCAACCTCTAAGTAAAACTTGGAGGAGTAGATTGCCTTTGAGAGGAGTAGCTGGATTCTGTGGATGAACGCAGGGCCCAGGGCATCTGGATAAACCTCATCCTATTCCCACAAAGTTGGCTTCTTCCCACGTGTCTGTGAGCAAGTTCACAGCTCCCTGCACACGTGCCATCCTTTTTGCACCAGTTAACAGGCAGAAGCCCACACAAGGCATTAGAGAGAGGCCCCCTCCCTCAGCATGAATGGGGAATAGCTTGTGTAGATGAAACACACCCGAGCGACACCCCTCAGCCAAGCTTCCAGGCCCAGAGAGGGAAGTGGGAGAAGCCCTTGTCCATATCAGCTGGCTGGGCCAGCCGCCTTCCCGCTCCGATCACCGGCTGCAGCTCGCTGCCACGCTCCTTCCCAGGTCCCGTGCTTGCTTCCCGGACCAGGGCCGTGAGTCACTCTACAGAAATCGGCCAAAAGCAGCCTTTTCTGAGTGCTAGGAAAAAATTAAATGTACAGGAAATAAGCTTCTCTTTTGAGGATTTTTTTTTCCTTCAACCTCTGGCACAGCCGCTTCTAGTTTGCACCCAAGTATAGATTTAGATAACTTATGTTTTAGCACAGAGCCAAAAGGCTGTGCAAGCATGAAAATCCCAGTGTTTGATAGACGGCTGGAGAGGCGCGGGGTGGGCGGGCAGGCGGGTGCTGCCAATAAGACGCTACCCTGGTGCCAGGCTGCAGACTCAGCACACTGTCCTGGGCAGCCCTGGGGCTGGGGCAGGGGCCGCAGACCTGGCTACCAAGGGCCGCTTCCTGTCCTCACAGATCATCTCCCAGACCTGGCCCTACCTAAGCATGATTATGGAAAACAAGTTCCGGGAGAAACTTGAGCCCAAGATCCGGGAGAAGAGTGTCCACCTGAGGACCTTCACCTTCACCAAACTCTACTTTGGGCAGAAGGTCAGTGCCAGCCAGTGAGGGAGCTGGACCTGCCACGCACTGTTCTGTCTCCTCCCTTGGCACCTCAGCCGCCTGGCTAAAGCTACCCACTGGACCTCATGGCGGGGCGGGCTGGCCCCCCCCCGCACTTCTCAGCCTTTTAGCCTTTGTGGGGGCCCCTCACCCCCTAGTCCAGCACCACTGTTCACTGTCCTAGAACATCCAGGTTCTAAGGACGCCTGACTCTCATAGAACAACTTCCCTTAAGCAAGTTTTGAAACATGGTGTGATCGAAGCCAGGCAGATGCAGAGGTGCGCACGTCCTGCTGGCTAGCCGGCATGGGCTAGGAGATCTTTCCTTCGAGGACTGAGACAGTTGGGGCCTGGAAGAAGTGTTTAATTCCCTTCTGATGGGTTGATTCTGGCAGACAGTATGAAGATGAATAGGTGACCCAGGAGAAAAGATTTTGTGTTTAACATACCTAATGTCAGGCTGTCCTGAGCTGTCCCGTTTTACCCACTGTGTCCCCTGCTCCTGTCCTGAAGGACCACTGATGGAATCTTATTTTGATTATCTGAAAATGCACCCCCACCCTCTGTGATGTCCATCACCTGGTAAATAGAGGCATTGGCATCTGGTCCGCTCTGGAACAGCAGGTGTCAGGGTCCAGTCTGCTGAGAGTCGTCTGCCAGCCCTAGGCCTGTGCCCAGCCATGTCCTGCTAGCCCCCTGAGTGGGCCCTGCATTAGGCCCTAGAGATTCTGATTTATACCACACAGGCTCTGCCAGGAAAAGCTTATCCCAGTCTCTCTAGATCCATTTGTTCATCCCTTGTCTCATTCACGCATGACTGAGCACGGCCATGAGTAAGGCCTTGTAGACAGATGGGTGTGTCCATAACCCTGCCTCTGGAAGATTGCCATCCCGTTGTGAAGACGGATACATACAGCCATGGATGACTATATGGCCGTGTACTCAGATGATGTAGATACATGAGTTCCGGAGTGTAGGGGTGTGGGGCCTATGGCAGTCAGGGAAGACTTCCTGAAGGGGCTGATGTTTCCATTGGCTTTAAGAGACAGTAAGCCTGCAGAGCCTGGCTCAGCCAAGCTGCTTCTGTGGTGGTGATGCCTTTGGGATGTGGTGGGCTGGAAAGCCATCCCCTGCTGGCAGCAGAAGCAGGGCTGGAGGTGGCAGATCCTAAGGATGATTTTGAACATGTCAGGAGAACCTGGTACAGTAGCTACAGGCTGACATCCCGCTTCTCTTCCAGTGCCCCAGGGTCAATGGCGTCAAGGCGCACACTGACAAGCGCAACCCGAGGCAGGTGGTCCTGGACTTGCAGATATGGTGAGCCCTGCCTGTGGAGTGAGTGGGGAACAGGGAGACATGTGGGGCCAACAGCCATGTTGAAGATGGAGTAGCGTATATGATGCTTTAACTTGGGGTGTGAAAGCCCTTACGGCACACCTCCTCCCCCCAGGCTGGGGCACGGAAGCAGGGATGGGGAAGAGTACACGGAGGATGAATGGAGAAATGACAGGTCCAGGGGACCTGCTGCATTCTGATCCCTCAGCCAAACCTGGCTTCTACCATCAGACCAGACAACAGGCAGGCTCTGGGTGTGAGGACCTGGTAGGTCACCTGGAAGGTCAGACCAGCTGCCACAGCGAGCATGTAGCAAGTTGGAGCAAGTGTGACAAGATGTAGGGACTTGTGAGGCCCAGGGAACTCTCGTGAACACTAGCTGTCAGAAGTAGGAGAACTGAACTCTCTGGCTCCTCAGAAAAACTAGAGGATGCAGACACACAAGTGACCACTTCAGTGGGTTGGGCAAGAGCACCTCTTTCAAATGAGGTTTGTAATGGATCTGAGTTGGAAAGAAGGGAGATTCAACCCAGGAAGTCTTCCTGGAGGTGGTGAGATTTGAATTATGTTAAGGGACAAAGGATCAACTTGTGAGGCTCCAGAATGTGGCCGTTCCTTTCCTGTGTCTCATATTTCCTGTCCTTAGCCCAGAGGCTGGCATTAAGAGCACACTGACAAGACAGGCATCGGCTCTGGAAACACCTGTCCCTACTTGGGGTCTGATCCTCTAGTGTGTTGGGATGGTGATGGCCTATCAGGTGCTCCTGGCCCCAAGATTCTGCCACAAGATCTTATATGAATCATTGAGGCATGCTGAGATCATCTGCCCACCTACCCAGCTTCCCAGTCAGCTCAGGCAGCCCTTGGGTCCCCAAGGGTCCCCTTCTTTTTCCCCCGCCTTCAGGGGGCACTCAGCATTCCTGTGACATATGAAATCTGCCTATATCCTGCAGATATTTGGTAGCCATCCTCCCCGGCTCCTTCCCAGTAGTCTAATGCTTCAGCCCTTTGACAGGGTCTTCTGATCTGTACCCCTGCGTGCACCCATTCTAGGCTCACTGTGCCCACTTGGCCAGAGCTGCCAGCCTGCACCTGTCCTTGCAGCCTAAGCCCTTGCTACTGTGGCCCACCTCCACACCCCCAGCATATAACCCAGCCTCCACAGGCTGCTCTGTGTCATCAGGGAGAGGCCTGCGTAGAGGGGGGGCCAGGGCACAGTGGTGCAGAGAAATGGGCAGCGTGTTTGCTGAGAGCCCCTCCTTCACCCACCCATCCAGGTGGGTGTCATGGGCTGAGGTGGTGCCTGAGTCACTGCCCTCGTGGTCAGTGGGGATGTGCCTGGATTTGGGCACCTGGGGGGCTGTCTCCTGGGGTGCGGGCCTGGGTCAGTGTTTGCACAGAGCCGGAGGGAGGTCATAATCAGATGGCACGGGGTTCAGCCTTGGCGGCCGGCCACCTGGAATTGGGTTGAGCGATGCCGGGTGGGTTCTTCCACTTCTCTGAGCAGTGGACCTGCCCCCACCTCTTGTCCCACCCCACTTCCAGTTACATTGGGGACTGTGAGATCAGCGTGGAGCTGCAGAAGATACAGGCTGGTGTGAACGGGATCCAGGTGGGTGGGGCCCCATAGGAGTCACCCCCAGGGTAAGGGTCGGGGAAGCAGGCCCGAGCTGGAGCAGGCTGCAGAGGGGCTGTGGCAGCAAAGATGGAGGCTGCTAATGATGAGAGGCTGCAGGGCTGAGCTGGCAGGGCCAGGAAGAGGGGGCTGGGCTTCACGGACCTGCTGCTCAGACCCTTGGCTCTCTCCACACTTACCTGTGTTTGTAAAGATTCTGGACAGGCTTTTGCTGCCCCAGAAGTGAGGGGCTTATTTAAGAAGTGGGGCAGAGATGGGCCTCCCCGGTGGCGCAGCGGTTGAGCGCTGGGTTGCGAAGCTGCCCGCGGCCTCTGCAGCGCCGGTTCGATCCCCGGCTGCTCCCCGGCCACTGGAGGAGGGTCCCACATGGCGCGCAGACCTCTCCTGCCGCCCGCTGCTCCCCTCAGCAGTGTACTTCGGTCCTTCTGCCTGCTCTGCTCCCCGCTCTGGCTCTGGTGAATTCTCTCACCCTCCCGCGCTTCTGACTGTGCCCAGTGCTTGTATAAATAAATAAATAAATCTTTAAAAATAAATAAATCTTAAAAAAAAAAAAAAAAGTGGGGCAGAGCCAGGAATTAGACCCTGAGGTGGCTGGAGGTGAGCTGATCTGGAGCTGGAAACCACAGCTGGGTCCTTGCTGGCTGGGCTAGCCTAGAGCTGTGGGCCCCAGGCGAGTGTAGCCGAGGGGGCGCTGGTGACGGCCCCTGGTAACCGGTCAAGCATACAGTGGTGTCCGGGCTTTGACCCCCAGGTGTGGTCTCTGCTGTGACAGCAGGTGCCTCTCATATTTGGGGGTGGCATGGGCATGAATGAGAGACCCCAGTGGCCTCAGCTGAGCACAGCAGGAGCGGGAAAAAGGGAGGCCGAGGACCCTCACAGGCCCTCTGTGCCCATCCAGTTACACGGCACCCTGAGGGTCATCCTGGAGCCGCTCCTGGTGGACAAGCCCTTTGTGGGAGCCGTGACTGTGTTCTTCCTGCAAAAGCCGGTGAGTCTCAGAGCCGCGTAAGCCCTTGGTGTGGGCCCCAGGCGCTGGCTTTGCGCCCAAGAATGGACACTGCGTAAGCCCCCTTCTACCCGGGCCCTCCGCACTCCTCGTCTCATCGCTCCTCAAGGCAGCGTCGGCCCTTGGCCTCACCCTCCCCAAGACTAGAAAACCGCTCAGAAAGCGACTTAGTGACTTGCCAAGGTCGCTCAGGCATCTGACATGGGGTCCGTAGCAGGCCTCCCCCAGGCGGGGCTGGTCCAGGACCACGTGGACTGCCGGGAAGCAGCAGGTCTGACAGCCCCGGCCCATCCTGAGTAGCGCATGGAGGGCCCTAACCTGCTTGGCTCCCCCACAGAGGGCATCCCCCGAGCAGGCTGGGTTCTCCACGTGGGTGGGTGTGAGGCACTGGCAGAGGGTTCTCAGCCCCTGGTTTCTGATTCCTTCCAACCTGCCCCGCAGCATCTGCAGATCAACTGGACAGGCCTGACCAACCTGCTGGATGCGCCAGGAATCAAGTAAGTGCCAGTGAGCGCCACCAGGCAGATCAGAGCGTGGGGCCTCCAGGGCAGTGCCCTCCCCGATTCCCCATTTGAGGAATGGGGGTCAACATGGAACCCCCCACCCCTGTGGTGGGGGAGAGAAGTGTTGGTATTTTTGGAGCAGGGGTGGCCACTGAAGTGTGTCTGGCCTCTGCGGGTGGGCACAGCACCGGGAACACGGGTGCACATGCGTGTGCGTGCACACACGTTGAGGGGCAGCAGGGAGAGTGGCTCTGGTTAGAGATGTCCGACAGGTGGCCTGGGGGCTAATGCGAGGAAAGCAAGGCTCTGGGGCCTGGCCGGCCGAGCAACTGTGTGACATGAGACAGGTGACGGTGCCCCTCTGGGCTTCCCGGTCCACAGGAGCCGAGTTCCTCTGTCTTGGGATGGTGATGGTGGTGGTGGCGCAGGGGGCTCGGACATACACCCCTTTCCTCATTACACCCTCAACCCGAATGCCCATGCTCAGTGAGAAGCCCTGGGGCCTAGCCCCAGCATGGCTGCAAACACTGGCGGTCGAGGGGGGCTGTCCTAGCAGAGGCCAGAGAGGAGGAGCTGGTCTGCAATACCCTACCTTCTGGAGCTGGAGGGCTGCTCTGAGGCATGGCCCCCCAGAGGAGCAGAGAACTCCAGCCCCATGAAGAGGCACCTCCTGGGAGGAGAAACAGCTGGACCTAAGGGGTGCACGCCAGCTAGTTGCCAGGCTCAACAGCTGCCCCCCCCACACCCCCGCCCAGGGAGGGCCACGCATTGACTCGCTGGGGCTGTCCTGCTGACCTCTGGCCGCAAGCAGTCTGGTCACGTATTCTTTCATTCAGAAAGTATTTTCTGAGCACCTACTGTGTGCCAGTGCTGTGCCACGTCTTGTCTGTCTCCTAGTGCTGGGGAGATGGAGTGGGCAGCATGTGAATTTTGGGTGCTTTCGGGGAGAAGCACTGCAGTAGCTCAGAGACCCAGCATCTGCTGCAGAGCGGGCACCGTCCTCAGCCCTTGGCACCTGGACTCATCCTTCCCACAGCCCGCGGAGGGTAACTTTGAGTCCCCATTTTAGAACTGAGGAAACTGGGAGGCAGGGTTAGTGATTCACCTGGGGTCACACAGCTCGTGGGGCGCAAGCCAAGATTCTAACACAGGCGCCTGCTCAGAGCTCTTAGCTCCCTGCTGGGCGGCCTCAGAGAAGAACACAGCAGCGCCAGGGGCTGGGAGGTCAGGGGCTATTAAATATACACCCCCTCTCTCATCCCATGCGGGCAGGCTGGGGTCAGGGCTGGACTTCTGGGCCATGGGCAGCACCCCCGCCCTCAGCTTTGCTCCTGGTGCCAGCTCCTGGGATGGGGAGGGGAGGTAGTGCCCCCTCTGCAGCTCAGCTCGTCGTGTCTGCCCTCCCCAGCGAGGTGTCTGACAGCCTCCTGGAGGACCTCATCGCTGCCCACCTGGTGCTGCCCAACCGGGTGACTGTGCCCGTGAAGAAGGGTCTGGACGTGACCAACCTGCGCTTCCCGCTGCCCTGCGTGAGTACCCGCAGCGCACCAGCCCACAGCGCTGGGTGCAGCGTTGGGGACCGACAGGCTCACGCGGGGAGCGCATTACAGATAGTGCCCCGGGAGGCCAGAGCATCCCCATTTTACTGGGTGAAGGCTGCATCCCTGGAAGGTGGAAGGGCTTTCCCAAAGTCACCCATCCAGGGAGGAGCAGAGCCCAGGTGGCATTCCTTCCCAGATCCGGGTCCCCCTCACAGAGCTTGGGTTGGGGATGGTGGCCCCCTTGGAAACTGCAGAGCCCCATATTCCCTTCAGGGTGGTGCGCGCCCCCGCTCCATCATTTGTTGGCAGGAAGATTCCTTGGGGTCTGCCGGGGAGAGTGTGTGGTTGATCCAGGACCTGGGGCTTCCTCAGTCCTCAGCCCACTGCCCCTGCCCAGCCTGCACCCTCCACAGGTAACCCCCAAGGAGAGCCACACGGCCTCCCTGAAGCTGGTGACCTGACTGTGGGCCTGAGCCCCTCTGGGATGGAGCCAGGGCCTTGGGAAAGGGAAAAGGACCCACTTTCACCACGCATGCCAGTGTGAGGCGCCCGCCCAGTCAGGCCACGCGAGGCGGGGTCGGGTGAGGCTGGGCGGGCAGCACATAGGCCTCGCGGCCTCCCCTACTACGGGCTGGCTTTATCCCGCTGCACGCTTGACTCGGAATAACCGTCCAGCGCAACGTCCACCCTAGCAGCTGAAAGCCCCTGTCCTTTGGGTGGATCCCACTGGAGACACCTGGCGCGTGTCTGCGGTTGAAACTCACCCGCAACAGTCCCTCTCCAGCTGCGATGACGACCAGCTCTGAGTATTTAGTGATTTGTTCAATCCATTCTCTATTTCTGGAAATGGGTATGTAATTTTTACCTGAACTTCCTTTTGCAATCAGGTAAAAGATTGGCACGCTTCCAAATTCCAACATGGAAAACAGATTTTAAGGAGTCCGGCTTCTCCTGAGCCTGCCTGCCAGCCGGGCTCCACGTCCACCCTCTAAGTCCTGGCGTTTTTTTACCGAGTCTTTTTCATATGGACGGATGGTCACGAGCATGTGTTTGCTCAGAGCCACCTTCCCCTTTCTTTGAGCAGCACGCTACAGTCTCCCGCTACCGTGGCGTGGGGACCACTCCATGACAGTGAGAGGCCCCTGCGCTCATTCTTGCCGCTGCGTAGGACGCCGGGTGTGAATCTGCTCTAGTTCATTTAACTGATCCCTATCGATGGACAGGTGTGGCTGGTCTTCTGCCATTTCAAATAGCCTTGCAATGTCTTTCTGTTTCTGCCAAGCTTCGGATAGATTCCTAGAAGAGGAATTGCCGGGCTAAAGGATGAATGCCTATGTCTTTACTGATATGGCAAGCAAAAGGTTGTAGGCAGGAGGCCTAATAGCTCCTGAGCAGTTATTCCTAATACTTGTGCTCTGTTCTGTCTGGCGACACAGGCCAGAGTGTGAGGCTGGCGGGTGAGACTCAGTGCTGAGGCCTTGGTGAGCACAGGGACCCACTGCCAGCAGCAGGCCACACCCCTGGGCTGTGGCGCCTGGACATGGGGAGGAAATGATATTGGAACGTAGTCTGCATGCAGGTCATGGAGAAGGGCTGGAATGCAGAAGGACCCTCAGGCAACAGGAGGAGTGGCGCTCACACGGCAGGTCGGAGGCAGGGAGGGTCAAGCAGGCCAGGATGGGCCGGGCTCTGTGACACAGTGGGCAGAACGCTGGACCCTGCTCCTTGGCCTTAGGTGGGAGACTGATGGTTTTGGCCACTGTCTCTCCATCCAGACCATGGAGTGGAGTTGGCGGAGCTGGAGGGATGCCTGAGGGCTTGGCTCTGCTGTTGCCAGCCTCAGGGCTGGCACAGCCCAGGCAGCTGTGACCCCGGGCTGGGGTATCTTCCAGGGGGTGATCAGAGTCCACTTGCTGGAGGCAGAGAAGCTGGCCCAGATGGACCACTTCCTGGGCATTCGAGGCAAGTCAGACCCCTACGCCAAAGTCAGCATTGGCCTGCAGCATTTCCGGAGCAGGACCATCTACAAGGACTTGAACCCCACCTGGAATGAGGTGTTTGAGGTGAGTCTCCTTGGCTGCTCTTGGATCCAGTGTGGCATGCTGGGCACAGACAAGGGAGGCCTTGCTCCCAGGGTCCTCATATCCCCAAGGGGCAACACAGGGCCAGTGGAGTGGGCCTTGGGGAAGGCAGGCAGGACTGAGTAATTCCTGCTTCCCATGTCCATCTGGCTTGCAGGGGGGCTGCGAGGGCCCCCCTAGCCTACGAAGGGCTGGTGTATAGACAGATCCTACCGCCCGTCCCCACCACCGTCAGCTCGGAGGGAATATTTGAAAATAAAAGAGAACCTCAGAGGCAGTTGCCTCAACCTTCTCAGCCACCCCTGACATTGCTGGACACCAGGAGGGTGAAGTTCTTCCCCCAGTTCCACCACAGTCCCCTCTGCCTGTTCCGTGCTCGGGAAGGTGCGCTGAACGTCCCAGGCCCCTCGCAGCTCACACAGCGCCTGAGCACTCAGCAGGCCCTGGACTTGGCATGGCTGGTCTCTGACCCTCCCCCCCTCCCCGCAGGGAAGGGAGCCAGCATCACTCTCTTCTCCCAGGTGGGCTTCTCCAGCAGAGGCCCTGACTCTGAGGTGGCAGGTGGTGGAGCTGGAGTTTGGCTCCCCTTGGGTCATGCTTGGAGCCGGCTTCATCAGTCACTGTGGCATGTGGCTCAGCGCACCCCTCTCCTTGCAGCTCATAGTCCACGAAGTCCCTGGGCAGGACTTGGAGGTGGACCTGTATGACGAGGATCCTGACAGGGATGACTTCCTGGGCAGGTGAGGAGGGTGCGCCTGGGGCAGCTTCCCTCCCTGGGGCTGCTGGGCCGGGCCCGTTCCCACCTCTCAGTGACCTGCAGCGGCGCTGGTCACTCACAGCGACTGTGCCAGCAACCGGGCCCATCATTCCACACTCCAGTCCCAGACCTTTCTGGTGTCTCCCAAGCGCCCAGACCGGAGCTGGTACAGAGAAGACCCCAAGATTTGTGTATCGTGGTATATCGTGTATACCAGTTTTCTGTACTCCTGATAATGAACCCAGAGCCCCCATTTGGAGGAGTGGCAGGGGGCAAGACTGGCGTGGTCCAGTGCCCAGCCTCAAGGAAGTCTAGCCCCGCGCTCTGGGTGTGGCTGGCTATCGAAATTTCAAATTAAATGTCCGTTGGTCCAGCAGTCCTACTTCCAGGAATCTCCTAGAAAATAGGCGCATTCAGCGTGAAATGCTCATTGCAGGGGACGTGTAGTAGCAACCCCAGAAGCTGGAAACATGACGTCCAGCCTCACAGGACATGGCTGAATGTGTAAATTCGCCGCTGCCAACTACAGAATATTCTGCAGCTTTAAAAACTGAATGGGACCCATGTGTGCTGACCTGTGTGTTCATGTCCCCTGTGTGAGTGGGAGAGCAGCTGGGAGAGACCTGTGAAGTTTGATTCGTCTTCCCAGGGAGGACCTGGAGACAGATGCTGCATGTTTGTTTGATTGTGCTTGTGTGGGCACAGAGAAAGGCCTGGAAGCTGCCCGCAGCCTGTTCACACAACCCATGTCAGAGGGCCAGGATTAGGAGGCCCAGACCTTCACACTCCCTACTTAACTGGTCTCCGGGAACATGTCAAAAGTAGAAGCAACACACAGTCTGGCAGCCTAAGGACAGTTTACCACCAGATATTGCTCATCAGTTCTTATTTTTCCTTTTCATGAAACAAGCTAGTTTTGTGATGCTGCAGATCGCAGTGTGGCTTGTGGTTCCCCGTCTCATGTAACAGTGTTTGGAGCCCTGGAGCGTCCACTTAGTCTTGGCTCAGGAGAGGCGGAGGCAGCGGGGATGTGGGTGTTAGCCACTCGCACACATGCCCGCTGGGCTTACTCCTTGGTAGAAGAGGGTATGTGGGGCAGTCTTGGGAATGGAGGGGCATTTGGGTTGTGAGAATGACCGCGGGAGGCAGAGCCAAGTGACCAGCACGTCAGAGCCACCCGCCTGCTTGGGCAGCGTACCCAGGGGCGCGGGCGCAGCCCTGATGGGCGGACGGTCCTTCCTTCGCTCACTGTGTCTCCCGTTGGCTCCTTGAGATGAGTAAGAATCTATGTCGAGGCCCCACTGAGACAGTTGAAGATTCCCTGGCGGGGCCTCCGTGCCCTCTGCTGCTTTGCTTCCTCTGAGCTGAGCTGACGCAACACCCCTCTCCCCCGTTTCCAGCCTGCAGATCTGCCTTGGCGATGTCATGACGAGCAGAGTGGTGGACGAGGTAGGGTCGGTGCCTGGCGCCCCTCCCCACGGGTGGCACTGTTCCCTAACCAAGTGTAGCGTTTCTGTCCTATAACCGTCATTTCTCCACTTCCTCAAGCCCAGAGCCCATGGTCTGGGCTGCTTCACCTTTTCCCTGAAACCACAATTAGGGCCTCACCGGGTCCCTGAACAGCTGCTCCAGGAGCAGGTGTCTAGCCCCTTCCCTGAGCTCCCCGCCCCCACCCCACAGTGGTTTGTCCTGAACGACACGACCAGCGGGCGGCTGCACCTGCGGCTGGAGTGGCTTTCGCTGATTGCAGACCCAGATGCTCTGACTGAGGTAAATGCAGGGTGCTGGGGCTCCCTAGCAGAAAGGGGGGTTTGTGGTGCTGCTGGTCCACGTGCAGGTGGTGTGTGTGTGAAGGGAGGGAGGAAGAGGAAGTCCCCAAATTTTGCTCAGTCTCTGGTCAACCCCACCACCTGGAGAACATGTGCTCAGTCTCCGCACAACAGCGCCTCATCTCTGCAGCTCAGTCATCTTCGGGGAAGAGGTGAGCCTTCCGAGCTCTGCCCGGCAGGGACTCCACCCCGTGTCTGGGACTTGAAACTGTCACGACCAGTTACAGTTCTCAGCCCCAATGAAAAGTCAGCTCGTGAGGGATCTATGACTGTCTCCCAAACCAGCCTGTCTCCTGCTGCTCAGGGGCCTAGTGAGTGTCGTCTGTGTCTTCCTGTAGGACCAAGGTGGCCTTTCCACCGCCATCCTCGTGGTCTTCTTGGAGAATGCCTGCAACCTACCGGTGAGTGTCGACATGGCTGGTGTCACACCCGGCCTTGTGTCCATCTCCTTCAAGTGTCCACGAGTCACTCACTTACCCTATTTTTGTGCCGCAGAGAAACCCTTTTGACTACCTGAATGGCGAGTATCGAGCCAAAAAGCTCTCCAGGTTTGCCAAGGCAAGTGTGTATATGGCTGAGAAGTTGAAAGCAGGTCCCAGCTCCTTGTCTGCAGAGGATCCACACCCGGGTCTGCGGGCGACAGTCTGTGCACACACAGCCTGGGGATGACAGAGCTGCCCTCTCTTGAGTCTGCGGTGTGCCAGGCATCAGACTTGGCAGCTCATGCCCCACATTTGTTACGCCTGAGTCCCAATGAATGGGTGTCCATTTTTATTGCAATGCCCGGAGGAGACAGAGCTTGGCTCTCTCCGGTCCAGGCAATGGGCCCTGCCCAGCTAGGCCGACTCTAGCCCCCTGTTCAGAACTTGGAACCTCCCCTTGAGCGAGCCCTGTCCTGACGCTGCAGTTATGGCAGCCAGGGGCCTGCAAAGGGATGTGGCGGGCTGGCCCCGGCTCCTACTGATGCTCCTGGGGTCGGGAAGTTGGGTGAGGGGTGGGAGGTGTGTCCCAAGCAGACGCTGCTGCCACCCTGACTGTTACGGATTTGCACCTTCACAGAATAAAGCGAGCAGAGACCCGTCTTCCTATGTCGAGCTGTCTGTCGGCAAGAAGACATACACGAGCAAGGTGAGGCAGCCTGGGTGGAGCCGTGGGGTGAGGAAGGGGGGCCCACCCATTGTCGGGGAGGGAAGCAAGAGTGAATGAGCTTACACCGAATGCCTAGTAGATGCCAAGACACATTCCAGGCACTTCATGTGGTCTTCACCATAGTCTCAGAACATTTTTCAGAGCGCCATTAACAGTTTCCTTCCTTTCCACTGGTAACTGGTGTCATGCTGTGCCCACGAAACATGCCCGAAGGCACTTGCTGGAAAGCAGAACTAGGGTTCAAGCAGAGGCCTGGCTCAGCCTGTCCTTTCCACCGCCACACGAAGTTTTAGTCCAGAAGCAGAAATCCCAGTGGCCCCTCCCCAGAAGTGAGCTCAGGTGTTAGTAAGATGCAGCCTCTGGCAAAATTACCTCCTGGCAAAGCTCTCCTTGCCTGGGAGTCTGGCGCCCTGCCCTCCTGCCTCCCACAGGCTGTGGCGGGTCTGATCCCGGGGCCGACACACAGGCGGCTCCCAGCGGTTCCAGCGACGAGAGGGAGCAGGGGTTACTGGTATCCTGCTCTGCCCAGCGTGCCCTTTCAATACTCTTTCCCTCTTCTGTCCCCAGACGTGTCCCCATAGCAAGGACCCTGTGTGGAGCCAGGTGTTCTCCTTCTTTGTTCACGACGTAGCAGCCGAGCAGCTGCACCTGGAGGTTTGCTTGAAATTGGGGTCTTGGACCAGAGCTGTCCGAGCCAGGAGGGGTGGGGACCTGTAAGTGCACGCTGACTAGCGTCTCCTGGCAGTGCAGTCAGCCCCTCGAGTGTGGGGAAAGACACCGAGGCCACTGCCCAGCAGGGCTGGGTAAGAGAGGGGAAGAGCCGGCAAGTCCAGTGGCTCTCCTGTTTCTGGTTGTCACACAGCACCCAGTGTGGCCTGTGCAACAATCTCCCCAGGACATTAATGATGGCGCACTTCTTCAAAAACTTGTTCTCTAAGTCTTTATGGAGGCTCTGTGGCAGAGAGGGGTCTTTACAGTGCACAAGACACAGTGACTTGTCCAAGACTCATGACCAACAATGAGATCTGGGACCTTATGGGGCCCTCAGCTGTCTGGATGTCTCGTCACGGAGCAGCACAGCTCATCTGTCCCTAGAGTCCCCTCGGCTCTGGGTGTTTGACAGACTTGTCTCCATAGATCACAATTGCCTCTGCCCCACCTCATTCTCTTCCTGACAGAAGATAAGACCCAGGTCTGATCTGGTCCTGATCCCAGTTTTCAAAATGCCACAGAAACACTTCATTTACTAAAGTGAACTCAGACTTGACTAGGGTGCAGACTTGACATTGCGGTGGTGAGGGTGGGACTGATTACCCTCTTGTTTTGTGACTGGCCCCCTGCCCAGGTGCTTGATGATGACCAAGAGTATGCGCTGGGAGTGCTGGACTTCCCCCTCTGCCAGATTCTCCCCTGTGCAGAACTCACCCTCGAGCAGCGCTTTCAGCTGGACCATTCGGGCCTGGACAGCCTCATCTCCATGAGGCTGGTGCTTCGGGTAAACCTCACCGCAGTCTAGGTGGGGGTGGAGTTACGGCTAAGGCGCAAGGTGAACTGCTCAGTGCTAAGTGCCCGCTCTATGTCTGAAAGTGTTTAGGAGATGGATCCGTATTTTTAATCAATTTTAGAATATTGCCTAACATTCTTTTCAAATATTGCCTCTCCCATTCTTTTGATCCTTCCTTTTAGAACTCCTTTGCTGCACCTTCTCATCGCCTCCATGTCTCAACCTGACCTCACCTTTGTATTTTCCAACTTGTTATCTCTTGGTGCTTCATTCTGATTTTTTCAGATCTTCCAGATCACTAGTCTCTCTTTGGCTATGCCTAATCTGCAGCTGACTTTCATGGTTTTTACTTCAAAGATTTTTCATTTCCAATTTTATCTTTTCCAAATTTACCTGTCTTTTTCTAATATATTCTCATGTTTTTACTCCTTTTTAATCAAAATACTGATGTTACATGTCTGTTTATTATCTAAAGATCCTGGGAGTTAAATTTCAGTATTTGTTGTGTAGGTTGATGCTTTATCATCATGATTCATTTCTGTATTTGGAAGAAGGGTTGCAAACATATATTCAGTGTTCCTTTATAACCTGGATTTGTTTCCAAGGAGATTTTGCTTTTGCTACAGGCAGGCATCCCAAGGGATATCACAAACCTGGGATCATTTATATGCTCATTTCTTAACTTTGGGTTTCAAAGGTAGTATAAATATGAATCCAAAATTTATAGGAAACAGGCCTCTAAACAGTAGTCTCAGGAAAGACTTTATCTTCCTCCACAAAGAATACAGGCTGAGACAGACACATTTTTCATCAGCCTTTGCTAGTGGATGGACTGTTTCTCCTTCACTACTTTTATACTAAAGAGCTCCCACCTTCATGGATGACACTCCAGCCTCACTTTGACCCAAGGCCTCTTCTAATTCCTTGGATTCCAAGGTTGATAAATGGCTCTAGGAAAGGGTGCCCTTTACCCTTTTTCAGTTTTCTCTTTTTTTTTTTTTTTTTTTCAGTTTTCTCTTTTGAGACAATAAGGACTTCCTTATTGTCTTAAAAATTTCGCTGTGCTTTTAAAAGGGTGTTGCTTCAGTTCACTGGGAATTCCTAGTAAGGTTTTTCAGAATGTTTTTAATCACCATCTTGCTAGAAATGGAAGTCTATAGAAAGGATCTTGGTAACTGATGACTGAAAGGGGAAGGAATAACAAAATGACAGAGGCTTGAAAATTGGGTACTGGGAGCACAGGGGTGTGTCTGAATAGGAAACACATTTTAAGGGAAGCTGGTGATTTGTGAAGGTTAAGGTGAGGGCAAGAGTGGAGGTGCAGCTATGGGAATCCTCTGCATAGAGGGAAGGTGCATACTGTGAGTGGGTTAGGTCTCCAGCAGCCGGTGTGAATACAGAGGAGGGGACCAGGACTGAGTTTTCATGAATACCTAGTTGTGAGATGGAGGAAAAAGCAGAGCATTGGTCAGAGGGACTAGGGATAGAGTTTACTAAGGGTGCAGATGGTGAGTCCACTGGATTGGGCGGCAGGAGGGAACTGAATTTTGATAAAACTGTTCCTTCAAGAAAAGAGAAAGACTCATTTCCCAGGGGTTAAGATGAAAACAGAGGAGAAAGTGAAGGCAGTAGGCCCCAGCCCATAAACAACTGTCATCTGCTTACAGTTCCTGCGTGTGGAAGAACGAGAGCTGGGGACCCCATACACAGGACCTGAAGCCCTAAAGAAAGGTCCTCTGTTTGTTAAGAAGGTGGCCACCAACCAGGATCCCAAAGCCCCACCCCAGGGAGAGGGCCCTGCAGATTTGCCATGTCCCCCGGGCCCTACTTCTGATTCCAAGGAAGCTTCTAAGGACACCACAACAACCACCAGTGCCACCACTGCTGCCACCAAGCCCAAGCCCCAAGAGACAAGCCCAGAGCCCAAAGGCAAGAACAGTGCCAAAGGGTTCTGTGAGCCCATGGGGGAGAAGAAGAGTTCGGCCACCATCTTCCTGACAGTCCCAGGCCCCCACTCTCCAGGGCCCATCAAGTCACCCAGACCCATGACATGCCCTGCCTCCCCATTCGCCTGGCCGCCCAAGAGGCTGGCTCCCAGCATGTCCTCGCTCAACTCCCTGGCCTCCTGCTTTGACCTGACAGATATCAGCCTCAACATTGAGTATGCACCTCTCTGCTTAATCTTTTATGAAATCACCTGCATGAAAAGTACCTTCTTGGATAGAAAAGTAGTTATGAAATTATTTTTCTGTGCAAGTTCGGGTTTCACATCATGGCTTCACGATGTGGTAAAAAGAATACAGCACGACAGAATGCCAGACAATCTGGTATGACTCTATAAGTACACATTGGCCACAAAATGGATGCTGGACTTTTAAGATTCCTTACAACAGAAAACATTTCCTAAATTCTAAAGAGCTATACTGGGATGATGTTGAAAGCTTAGAATATGGAATTAATGCAGTTGATGGCAACCAGTTATGGAGTGTTTACTATGGGCTTAGTACCTTGCCTGATGCATTACTTAATAATAACCCTACTAGATATTATTATGAAGGTTGAGTAATTTGTCCAAGGTCCCACAAGAAGTTACGGTATGTAGGCAGAGTCCTCTGGGTTCATGTTCTTCCTGTTGCGAAGAATAATTATATGTGAATGCTGGGTGAAAATGACTTTCATTTGAAAGGAACATTACTGAGAATTAACAACACACATGGCTCCAGGTTCCTCATGCAGCAGATGCTTTTGTCTTGTGGGTAGGGGAAGAGGCAAACACTTGTAATGGCAAGAAAAGTGACAAGCTCTTTCTTTTCAGAGACGGAAATCTCAGGCAGCGGGGGCTGGGCGAGATTCAGCTCACAGTGCGCTATGTGTGTCTACGGCGCTGCCTGAGGGTTCTGATCAACGGCTGCAGGTAAAGGGATGTTGGAGCAGGAAAGGTCTTTTGGGAGCATCAGGTAACAAAGAACAAGAATGGGTGCACTGGGAGCAACTGTAGCAGGGGGCGGCCTCAAGGTAGACAAAATATTGTAAATACTGGAAAGGAGTGAGGTTTGATGATGTGCAAGGCACTCAGTGGTGCTAAGGGGCTCTGAAACCAAGAGCTTTGCTCAGACGCAGCTTGTGCAAAACTGTCTGGTAGCTGGGAACCAGTGCATTTTCTCAAGTGAAAATCTCTACTTTGCCTTACATGAAAAGTACTTGTTCTACTCCAAATTTTATGAAAAGGCATGATATCAGAACCATGGGTTGTCCTAATATTCTGTCCTTCAAATTCTGCAGACTTTGCTAGACTACAGGACAGTTTTATCCTCAAGGCCAACTAAAGCTGGATAGCTAGTAGTTTCCTCCAAATGAGTATTTTCAATGTTTCAAAACTGGGAATCTTTTTTTTGTCTTTTGTTAACATTGTTACAGGTATTCAACATTATAATGACATGTATATATTGCATTGTGACCACCACCAAAAGTCTAATTTCCATCCATCACCATACAAGCTGACCCCTTTAACTACTTTGTCCATCTCCCAGACCTTCTCTGGTAACCAGTTTGCTCTATGAGTTTTACTTGTTCTATTATTTTTTAAATATTCCACAAAAGTGAAATCATATGGTATTTGCCTTTGCCTGCACTGTCACAAATTAAGATTTCATATGGCATTTCTATTCTTAATTTTTTTGAGTAATCTCCACAATTCTCCATACATAAGAGTACATACATTTTCCCAAATGAGTGTTTTCATATTCCTTGGATAAATACCCAGATATAGAATAGCTGGATCATGTATTTGGGGAAATCTCCAGTTTTCGTTTCTGTACCAATTTACATTCCCACCAACAGTGTATGAGGTCACATTTCTCCATATCCTCTCCAACACTTGTCTTTTTGATAATAGTCATTCTACCAGGTATGACTTTACCATTTCAAAGAATCAGCCTTTGGTTTCACTGATCTATGTTCTTTTTAGTGTCTATTTCTGCTCTGATACTTCCTTCCTTCCTTCTACTCTGGGCTTGCTTTCTCTCCCTAGTTCCCTTAAGTATAGCTAGACTGAGATTTTTGTTTCTTGAGAGTGTTTCTCGCTATAAATTTCCCTCTTAGTACAACTTTTGCTGTATGCCATAGATTCTGGCATTTCTTATTTTGTCTGAAGGTTATTTTTTAATTTCTCCTTTGATTTTTCATTGACCCCGGATTTGTTCAGTAGCATGTTGTTTAATCTCCATACATTAGTGATTTTTCCAATTTTCTTGTGATTTCTAGTTTCATGCCATGCTGTCAGATATTTGAGACATTCTTCTTAAATGTATTGAGATTTGCGTCCCAACATTTGATCTATCCTTGAGAAGGTTCTATGTATTTGAGAATATGTATTCTGCTGTTCTGAGACAAAATGTCCTGTATATATCTAGTAAGTCCATCTGGTCTAATGTCATTTAGTGTCAATGTTTATTTTCTGTCCAAATGATCTATTGATGTATCCTACCGACATGTGTGTGCTGTTAATTTCTCCCTTTAGGTCTGTTAATATTTGGTGCTTCTTTGTTGGTGCATTTCTATTAATAATTATTACATCTTCTTGGTGGATTGACCCCTTTGTCTTTAGAACGCTCATCTTTGTCTCTTCTTACCTTTTTGGCTAGATTTATTTTGTTTGATTTTAAGTATGGTTACACCTGTCTGCTTTTGGCTCCCATTTGTTGGGAGTATCATTTTCCATCCCTTCACTCTGAGCCTATAATTATAGATTTAAGATTAGTCTCCTGAAGACAACATACATTTGGGTCTGTTTTTCATTTCAGCCTCCCACTGTGCTTTTTGATTGAAGCTGAGTGCATTAGCATTTATGGTGATTACTGGCAAATGAGGCCTACTACAGCCATTTTCTGGTTGCTCTGTATCTCTATTCTTTTTCCTTGTTTTCTGTCTGCCATTTTAGTTTGGTGGTTTCCGATATTTTTCTGTTTACGTCTCTGCTCTTGATTTTTGTTTTGTGGTTACCATGAGGTTTGTATAAATAAGAGTCCCTTTTTTTCCTGCTGATACTTATATTCATTTAGCTATACAGGTTTCATCCTGCCCTTTTGTTTTTTCACTCAAAAATTATTCTGTTTTATAATGTGACTTCATCACCAAATTGAAGTATTTATTTAGTTTTAATTCCCTTTAAACTATATTTATTTTGAAAGAGTTGCAGTTTTCTGATGCTGCTTCTCACCTTATTCAAAGTTCTTTGTATTTTTGTTTACTCGGGTATAAGAGCTCCTTTCAGGATTCCTTTCAAGGCAGGTTTAGTGGTGGTGGTTTACTTTAGTGGTGACCTTCAGCTGTTGTCTGGGAAAATCTTTATTTATCCTTCATATATGAAGAATAACTTTGCTGGAAGAATACTGACGGCAAGCTATTTTTATCTTTCAATATTTTGAATGTTACTTCACTGTCTCCTGACCTATAGAGCTTCTGCTGAGAAACCTAATGATCACCTAATGGGGACAACTTTGTAGGAAACTTTCCCTTGACTGCATTTAAAATTCTTTATTACTGACTTTTGACAGTTTACTATAATGCATCTTGATGAAGGTCTCATTGAGTTAATTAGGTGCCCTATTAACTTTGTGAACTTCTATATCCATTTCCTTCCACAGTTCTGCTAGTTTTAAGCTATTTATTTCTTTAAACAAGTCCTCTGCTCCCTTCTCTTCTCCTTATTCTGTCTTCCCTAACAGTTACATCATTCTTGTGGGCTTTCTTCATTTCTTTCTCCCTTCTCTTCTACTGGAATCATCTCTTGATTTCTATCCTCTAATTCTGATTCTCTCTTCTATACGGTTTACACTACTCATCTCATTTATTGAGTTTTCAGTCCCAGAAGTTCTGTTTTTATTTTCAATTTCAATCTCCTTGGTAAAGAAAAATCTTTAGTACTCCTTCTATTCATTAATTTTATTCTTGAACTCACTGAACTGCTTTTCTAAGTTTTCGTGTAGCTGATGAGTTTCATCACGACAGCTATTTCGAATTCCCTATAAGTTTGATCACAATCTTCAATGACTGTAAGTTTGGATTCTGGAGAAATGTCATTTTCTTTTTGTGAATACTATGTTACTGTAAATTTTATGGTGCTTTTCAAATAGCTACTTCAAATAGCCAACAGAGTAACACCATTCTTATTTATGTAAAGCTTTCTTTGCTTTGATTCTAACATTTCAGCAGATTGCTAAATGGCAATATAGCATTACTTTTTTGGTTTCTTACCTGAATTGCCTTTGGCTATATTTGCTATCTGGTGTCTTTCCACTCTCGAGTCTCTGCCAGAGGTGTGCGCTAGCACCTGTTGTCATTGCTGCTTGTGCCACCAGGGTTAATGGTGCCTGGCTGCTGCTGGTATCACTGCAATTGCAGGCATCACTGCCAGGGTCCCAAGGATGGTGGTGCAACTGTGGAGTTTGAGGTCATGAGAGTCATGAAGTTTCACTGCTCTGGCAAGGGCGGGAGGGCGGGGGGAAGGTGGTGGCGGTCAGTCTCCTGAGTTCTGCCGAATAGGTGGTGGTATATTATCCATGGACATGCTACCTTTACTACCTACCACTCACTGTTATTCTGGGTCCATGAAACAAGCCCTGCTACTACTGCAGTTGCAGTCAATGGGGCTGAGGGTATGGGTGCCAATGCTGTCTTCCTGTCTTAGGGGGTACAAGTCCGATTTGTGGGGTCCACCATCTTTGATTCCCAATCCACCCAACTTAAGATATGCAGATGTGTGGATCTCTTATACTGACATGTAGAAGAACCTATGATTTGTAGATGGCTTAGTTGTAGATCAAAGGAGAAAAACAAAGAGCATCTAATACTATGATGCTGACATCACTCTTTTCTTTAATGGCTTTGAAATTATCAGAAACCTCACACCCTGTACCAGCAGTGGAGCTGATCCCTATGTTCGTGTCTACTTGTTGCCAGAAAGGAGGTGGGCAAGTCGAAAGAAGACCTCAGTAAAGCGGAAGACTCTGGAACCCCTGTTTGATGAAACGTAAGTAAGCAAGCTGGCCTTCCCAGAGTGCCTCATCTATTCATGTATTTGCCAAGATCTGTTGTGTGCCTGACAGCCTGCAAGATGCTGGGCAGAGCTAGGTTTGGACAGGACAACGTGGTCTCTGCATTCATGAGGTGTCTATGCTTTATTGGGAAAAGAGAATTACTAGGGCAATTTAGCAAAATAGCTATCCTCTTTTTTTTTTTTTTTTTTTTTTGCCATAATGGCTAAACTGTTCCTGATTATGAAATATTCCATACTTTCCCTTTAAATGAAGTATCTTTGGTATTAAGATGATTTGAATCTGGCCAAATGTTTTCTTTGAATGTTTCAAAGCAGTAGTTAAATGTAAACATATCTTGAATCTAAGGGCCTAAAGGCTCGTCTTCCCTTCTGCATCATAGCGGCAGGTGTGACAGACACACTGCCCCCAGTAGCTTATCCACCACTGTCTTTGGGAACAAGACTAAAATCTCATTTGCTGATTTTGATGGGTCAGTGGTGGCAAATCTTTTTGTAAATATTTTTATCCTATTCAAGTTGACCTCAAGCCACAAAATCTCATCTTTGCTTCCTGAGAAGACATCGAACCTAGGAAGATTTTATACCTAATAATTCTGGCTTCCTGCTAAACTGGTCCAAAACTACTAATTTTATTTTATTTTAAGATTTATTTATACAAGCACTGGGTATAGTCAGAAGCGCGGGAGGGTGAGAGAATTCACCAGAGCCAGAGCAGGGAGCAGAGCAGGCGGACTGATGAAATGCACTGCTGAGGGGAGCAGCAGGTGTGGCAGGAGAGGTCTGCGCGCCATGTGGGATCATCGCCGGTGATCAAACCAGTGCTGCAGAAGCTGCGGGCAGCCTCGCAGCCCAGTGCTCAACCGCTACGCCACCAGGGGAGGCCCCATAACTACTAATTTTAAAGGGGTGTACTAAGTTTTGAGTTCATTTAATATTTACTGAACATTTGATGCCAGGTACCATCCTGTATTCCAGTGTCACAGTAAGGGAACACTGGCCTAAGTGTATAAAAGGGTGTCAGAATTGCTATGGGGGAACACAGGAAGATTATAAATAGCAAAATATTCCTGGAAAGCAACCTCTACTCTAAAAATAAACCTAGGAGTCCATAGGCCTCTGTGAGTACATGATGAAGATGTACACTAAGCTTGCTCTGCCTTACTTCACAGGTGCAAGAGGGAAGACTATTTTCCATGCAACTCTCTAGAACCCACACAGCATCCTAGCCCTTAATTAGAAAAAACTTAAAGTGGTCCTATAAGCAGGCATAATATGAAGGGTCAGCTGAAAGAGTGACAGCTAAGGTAGAGCTAGAGAAAATAAGACGCAAACCCCAAAGCACTTCCAGGGTTTATGACTATCACAGGATAGTGATTATCTAATATTGATGCACAGAATATCTGCTATAAGCCAATACTGTTATAGACTATAAGAATATATCTTGTTTTGAAAGATACAGATGAAACACTTTAGATTCTTTACAAAAATGATTAAACCATCTAATAGCCTGACTTTTTGCTTCTTAAAGATTTGAATTTTTTGTTCCTATGGAAGAAGTAATGAAGAGGTCTCTAGATGTTGCAGTGAAAAACAGTAGGCCACTTGGCTCACACAGAAGGAAGGAGCTAGGAAAAGTAAGTACACAAGGAACTCTTGAAACTTTATCCTTCCTGCTAGTCCAGTTGAAGTTGACTGGTGGTACACTTAGATTCTGATGGGATCACCTGGTTGGCATCAGAACTGCATTAAAGGAGGGTGCAGCTTTATTGGTTGGTTCTGTGCATGTGTGTTTGTTTTTATATTGAAACCATAGTTTATCAAATTTATCATTACATGCTCATTTGAACTATAGGATTAAATATTGTTTAATAATGTAGCATTGCTTAAATCTCATGTCAACATTTTTGTGATGGGATTTTATTTAAAATAGTAGAGAAAATTTGCTCAAGAAGATGCCATGCTTTAATAAACACCTTCTTATACTCATCTTTTTAAAATCTACTTCTACCTGTTTTTACAGTTGAGCCACCTATGGCATCTTGTTTATAATTATGAATAATTTAATGAGTAAAGGCAAGTTGTTCTATGACATTCATAAATTCCTAAGGAATGACTCCAAACAGCAATTCACCTTTTCTCAGTGCATTGAGGTCATTGTGCTTTTTTTGCTCAAAACTGTGAAATGCAGGGACACCTATTTTATTTTTTGATTGCTTAGGTACTAATTGACTTATCAAAAGAAGATCTGATTAAGGGCTTCTCACAATGGTAAGTGACCCCTTTCATCATGTTTAATCTGCTACTCTGACAGTTGTCCGTGTTTTCTCTCCAAAGTCCTTCCCTAGTACATTTCAGTTCCTTTGGTTACCAAGGAGGGAGGGAGAGATTATCACCTTTACTTGAGGCTTTACTGCATATAGCTCTCATTTACCTAAGAACCTCTATAAGCTCTAACCTTAACCCTGCTGGTCAATTTACAGAAATGGGTTTTGCTGGTCCCACAGAAGCCCAGGCAGGTTAGAATAGGTGGCTTGTCCTAATGCTGCCAAGTTAATACTAACAGAAGTCCAAACCCACCTGTCTTATAGGTATGAGCTGACTCCTGATGGGCAGCCCAGAAGTTGATGATGTGCCTGATTATCACCTTTATATTAAAATATGTACATATGTATATTTTGTAATTTAAATAAGAATAGCCACTTAAACATATACACACACTCATTCTTTTACTGCATGACTGGGTAAGTATTAAAAGCAGCAAACATGTAAAAGCAAGAACTACTCTCTTCATTGGGCTAAGTTGTACAAATCCAGGAAGAAATGGGGTATTTGTGCCTAATAAACTACTGTCTGATTTATAACTTACCTGAATGTATCCAAAGCATCCAGTCTCAAACAGGTGAAGGAGATTCATTCCTGGAGCAGCTACCAGTATTCCTGGGCAATGAATGACCAAGGGAAGTGGCTTTTCATTCCCAGGAAAATGACCCACCCCCAAAGTGCCAAGAGTTAACACTGCTTAAGCCCTCCTGGCTGCCACTTTCTCTGCCTGGAGATTTGGTATTGTACCTGATTTAGAACAGCAACTGTACTTTCCTAGTGATAACAATGTACCTAGTAAATTTCTTAAGTATTCTAGTGCTGGAGACTACTACAAAGTACCAAAGAGGAAAAGGGTTTTTTTTTTATCTCAGACAAGTTGGGGTATTCTGCTCTATTGTTATTAAAAGCAAGATATGTATATTGTAAATTGTAATAAATGTCTTTCATATTTCTCTTGTCCTCTGGTGTTAAGATCACATCCTTTTCTCTCATTTATTCAGGCAATATCCCCTGCCATCAGTTTCTTGTACCTTCACTGCTACTTTTCTGAATAGTAACATGTTTAAAGCATTTGTCATGTAGGTTTATAAATGTATGATGTCCTGTTTTCTATAAGAAATAATTTGCTTTTAGCCATAATCTGGCCTCAAGATTTTTGCTCCTGTATTCATGTGCAGATGCTCTATTCCAGACTAGTTCCTTATCCTGCTTTCTGAGGTTGCTACTCTATAGCTCTTAAGAGTCTTTTCCCCCTTGTTGGTTGTTAACTGTATTAAAAATTTTATGATATAGAAAACTTCAAATCAGTAATAGAAAAGGTAAAAAAAGGAAAGAAGGGAGGAAGCATAGAATATACAAAAGACAGTTGAAGACCTCTGAAATTAAGTCCAATGTTAAAATGCAGAATGTCAAATTCCATGAAAATAAGTACAGCCACAAGCTACGAAGAGGTCTACTTAAGATATACCCAAAGATTTCCTTTTGAAATTAGGAAAAGGGCTGCTTCTTCCTCTTGCTTCACTACTTCTACTCAACACTATATTGTGACTTGTTCATTAAAAAAAAAAAAAAAAACTATAGGGAAAGAGGTCACAGAAGAAAATAACATGTGTAACTGTCAAATGGCTAATATCCAGAATCTATAAATAACTTATAAATCAATAGGAAAAAGTCCAATAGAAAAGTTAAACACATTAGCATGCCAAAGGAAAATATGCTTAACTTCATTAGTAATCAAGAAATTAAACTTTTTAAAACCATAAAAATAGCTCTAAACAGTACCTATAAAGACTTACCAAGAATTGGTCAGGATGCACTCAGGTCTGGTGGGAATATAAACTGATACAACCCTGTTAGAAAATAGGCATTTTCTTCTAAAATGGAAGATACATATTCCCTGTTGAAGTCACTATACTGTACAACCCCAGAGGTTTCATTCACACCCTTATCTGTAGAAAAGGTACAGTATATAGATTTGATGACTGACTACAGAAATGTTTTCCCCTGAAACCCAGCCATTGCACCTCTGAATATATGTTCTAGAACTCTTGCATACATGTATATAAGGACACATACACAAGAATACTCGCAGCAGTTCACAATAGCCAAGAACTGGAAACAACCCAATCTGCAATAGAACAGACAAATGAATTGTGGAATATTCGTAGAGGAATACTAGACTGCGATGAAAACTAATGACCTGGACCTAATAAAACAACATAGATGAATAGTAGAAATATATTAAAGAGAAAACATTAAAAAGAATATATTCTATAACTCCATTTGCGTAAGTTTAAAGGCATACAAAACTATGTTGGTTTAGACAAAGTAGCAAAAGTTTTTTTAAAAAATAACATAAAATTAATATGATAGGTGGAGGAAGTTTTTTGGAGTGCTGGCAATGTTCTATTTCTTAGTTGTAGTTCACTTTATAATCATTTATTATACTCAACATTGATAGTTTAGACCATTTTAGTATATAAAAGATTTGTGAAATAAAAAAGGAAAAGAAATACCTAGCAACAACTAATTAAAAGACAAAATTAGATTCAAGGTGAAAAACGATTAGTAACAAAATCAAGATATATCAATTATGAATTTATATGTACTTATAAAATAGGCTCAAAAATGCAGGTTAAAATCACAAGGAGATACCATCTCACATCTGTGAGTGTGGCACATATTAAAAAGACCTCCAAAAAGTGTTGGAGAGGATGGAGAAAGAAAGGAACACTATTACGCCGCTGTAGTTGGTGGTAATGTAAACTGGTACAACCATTATGGAAAGCAATCTGAATTTAAGTGAAAAATGTAAATATTATATGACCCAGCAATTCTGCTCTTGAGCATACATCCTAAGAATATGAAACTATCAACACAAAAATCTTTATGTTCCACAATGTTCATAGTAGCATTATTTATAATAACTAGAACATTTAAACATCCTAAATGTCCATCAATGGATGACTGGATCAAGAAGCTGTGGTATGTGCATACTACGGAGCACTAATGTAGCCATTAGAAAGGATGAAATGCGGTTCTTTTCAACAAAATGGAGGGAGTTCAAGAGAATTATGTATAGCAAATCAAGTAGTAAGAACAACAAAAACCATATTGGATATTTACATGGTAGACAACTTGATAATATAAACACTTTAAAAATCCAATGGACATTAATAAACACTGGGGGCTCTAAGGTTAAGAGGGAGGGGAAAGGACAAGGGGATATAAGGGATGGTGGTAGGGTGGGGAAAAAAAAAAAGCTTCGGGGGGGGGCAAACTTTAAGGGAACCTCCAATCCTTTGAGTTTACCTTTAGGAACTCTACGCCATTCCCTTGTTCTCACAGTAAATTTCTTTTAAAAAGTATATAAGTTCAAAATATATATATAAAGCAAAATTTGACAAATCCAGAGGAATTTCAGTATCTCCCATAAATTAACAAATTAGGCAACAAAGAATGATAGAAATGAGTAGATTGAAAAATAGCATAACATATACATAAGTGGAGGCTATGCCATTTTTAAAAGCAAATGTGGAATACATAGTCACCAGAAAGAAAAGGCTAAACCAATTAACCAATTACAGATTCAATAGCAAAAAGGCCATGTTTTCTGGCTACAATGAATAAAATCAGAAAATAATAAAAAGACAAGAAATCCTGCATATTTCCAGACTTATGTAAATACAACTAAACTTTTACTTTAGCCAGGATGAAGATAAACTGAATTTACCCTTATACCTTTAAGTACCAAAACCAAAGCAATAACAAAAACCAGACAAAATACATTACTTTTCAAAATACCGTATATTAGTATATGTTCATACAAAGACCTGACATGAATGTTCATGACTCTTTTATTGCAGTCAAAAACTGTAAATAGGGCCTACCTGGTGGCGCAGGGGTTAAAGACAGCGCTATCAAACTATCCTCAGCCACTGCAGCATGAGTTGGATCCCGGGCCAGCCAAGGGAGCAACCCACATGGTGCAGCAGACCTCTCCTGCCTCTCCCGCTGCTCCCCTCAGCAGTGTATTTCAGTGCATCTGCCTGTTCTGCTCCCCACTCTCTCTGGTGAATCCTCTCACCCCCCCACACCTCTGGCTTACACCCCAGTTCTTATAATGCATAAATCAATCTTTAAGAAAAGCTGTAAATAACCCAGTGAATGGATCAACAATTATGGTATATTCATAGAAAGGAATATACACAGCAATAAAAAGGAATGAACAGTTAACATGTACAATATGCAAGTATCTCAAAATAATTATGCTGAGTGTAAGATATCAGACAAAAAAATTGTATTATACACACACACACACACTCACATATAATATACAAAATATTAAATGAGCCTGTAATTATGAAAAGCAAATCAGCTATTGCCCAGGGATGGAAGGGAAAGATTACCAAGGGTAGAGAAAAAATATCTGGAATCATGGGTAGGTTTATTAGATTGATTGTAGTGATCGTTTCTCAAGTATATATGTATGTAAGAACTTGTCAAGTTATAGACTTTAAATATGTAGTTTTATGTCACTTATATTTCACTAAAACTAATCAATAGCTAAAGTGATTATATTCTAAATAATTAAAATTGGGTAAAAGTGGATGTGACAGAAAGAACCTAAAATTCTTCTACTTTTGACACTATCCCTCCCTTGCAATAACCTCCAAAAAATTTTTAGGTCTCTAAGGAAGAGTCTGAAAAAAGTTTTAAACTAAGTATTAACCATTAAACTAAGCTGTCACCATTTAGATAAAAATAATTAAGTTACATTTCTTCCTTTCCAATATTGTTATCTTTCCAAAAGCTGTAATTGTCATAATTGGAGTATTCTAATTTACTCAGAATATTAACATTATTGAATATCCAAATACTTTTTCTACCCAACAATGAAAGACAGATTCTTTTACAAATTGTGGGCTACTATTTAAAATGTGATTGCAGGCTAACAAAAAAAGGATTTTAAATCTAGTACTAGAAACCAAAATACTGTGTTTTGTATAATCCCTAAGGTCACAACACCAAGGATTTAGATACTTATTTACCAAAGTTTACATTCTCCATTCCACCATGCTGCTTCCCAGAAGTGTTTTTTTGTTTTTTGTTTTTACAATATTCTATATGACAATGGATAAGAACCACCAAAAAGTATTCAGACGACTGCTATTTATAAAAGTGGACTGGGTGTTCAACTAAGCTGACAGTAACCTGAAGTGGCTTATACTATAGTTCTAAGGCAGAACACTGGACCCTTTAGAAAATCTGACTGAATATTGAGAACAGAAAATAACAAGACAGCAAGAAAAGTATCTTAATAAAGGCAGCAAGAGTAAACCAGTTGCCCAATGAAGGCTTAGCTGAGTAAGAGAAAAAGACTCATTATTTGTAATACAAATAAGTCATTGAGGACACTTATATTTGGAAATTCTTTACAAAAGTTTTATTTAAGATCTCATGTCCTTATAAAAAGTACATTACAAAAAGATGCAAAAAAGACACTTTTCTATGAGAGACTTATCTACTCATCTATTTCACCCCGTGATTCATGTCATACCCTAACAGAATAAAACATTTTTCCTTCTTCCTTTTCTACTTGCTGCTTTAAAAGGGCAAGTGCCATGAAGCCTATCGTAGTAGAATGTGCCAATTAATCTTTGCCAAGAAAGCAACAGTTTCCTACTGGCTGGACTTCAGAGAGCCATTGACAATCCTTATTCCCAAAACCAAAAAGCCACTAAACCCTGACTTTAAATGCAACTTTTCTACTACTCATACTATTCCTCCCTAAGTTTCTCTTTTACTCACACACTGTACTTTAAAACAATCTTAAAATTTAAGAACAAAAATTACTTAAGAAATGATTAAAGGATGTAAAGTTAACAACTACTGTAACTTAGCAACTGTATATAAGAACCTCAAAGTCAATATAAATTACATGAATGCAGTACCCAACACTAAGGAGGGGATGAATTCTGAGAGTAAAAGTATTTTATAACCCTTGTCTCAAAATAAGATCAATCCTACAGAATACTTAAAATGTTAAGAATGCAATTTACACAGTAAAAATGATTTGATTTGTTTTCAGTATGAAAGTATTTTTAATTTCTTTACTGCAGGTACAATGGCATCCAAGTCATCAATTTCTGTAATAGAAAAACAAGAATAATGAAAGAGTAGCTTTATCTAGTGATAGGTTCCGATGAAATGAGAACCTCTATGCAAAGGCAAACCTCAAACACAAAGGCAACACCACTAGTGCTTTCATATACATGAAGCTTTTCTCCAGTAGTGATAGTGTATCATGATTCAAACAGTGGCTTCATAGGGCTTCTGTTTGTAAAAGCTACCACAAGGATACTCTGACTCTGGTATTAAACTCATTAACAGGGCGCTTTATTAACAGAGCGAACTGGCTGCGTTTGTGTCATTTTGTTATTGCCTCTTTAAATCTGTACAGTTACATGAGTGAGTCTACACAGTGAAATCCCGGGTGGAGGCAGTCTCACTCCTGGATCCCCTCTGAGGACTTAGGAATTTCTTCTCATGGGTTGCAGTCCTATCCTTACTTCTTTTATAAAGGTTTCATTAGTAAGACCACTCTTAGATCTATCTTTTAGGATGAAATATATATAGAGAGCTTAGCCTGATTCAGCTGACCAGATAAACCAATTCAGGCTCCTTTCTGTCAGGTTCTTTCTCAATTTGATTTTTCTTCTAAGATTACCATCTTCCAGCGAGCCTAAGTTAGACTTCACTCTCTGAAAGTTCATGGCCACTGAGGAAGCAAGGTTGTTTCGCTCTTACCAAGACTCCAGTCTAACAGATAAGCCCCTGTGGCAGGTTCTCTCGATTCTCACCACTTTTTTTCTAGATTTTTCTGCTAGGCCACTGTTCATAAACTCATTTCCTTTACATAAAACATGCTCCCCTGCATTCCATCTCTCTCCATTTAGATTTTAGCTGTTATTCCTTTAGCCTACACACATGACCCATGTTGTTTAATTCACAACCTCAGTCAGCGCATTTGTCTGGACTCTTACAAAGCACTAAGATATGAAAAGATAAAAACTTCAAGCAGGGCCTCCCAGTGGCGCAGCGGTTGAGTGCTCAGTTGCGAAGCTGCCCGGGGCCTCCATGGCGCCGGTTTGATCCCCGGCTACTCCCCGGCCACCGGAGGAGGGTCCCGCATGGCGCGCAGACCTCTCCTGCCGCCCGCTGCTCCCCTCAGCAGTGTACTTAGGTCCTTCTGCCTATTCTGCTCCCTGCTCTGGCTCTGGTGAATTCTCTCACCCTCCCGCGCTTCTGACTGTGCCCCAGTGCTTGTATAAATAAATAAATAAATAAATAAATAAATAAATAAATAAATAAATAAATAAATAAATATTTAAAAAAAAAAAAAAAACTTCAAGCAAATCTACAACAGCGAATTTGTTTCACACCTTACATCATGGAAAGGTACAACATCAAGTTATTCCCTGATAAACCCCAATCCGAAATTTTCGCACTAAATGAGAAATCTGTTTTATAAATGAACCTCACAGAGAAAGATCTTGGCTGAGAAGAGAATTTTCTCAGCTAATCACAGCATTTATGAAAGAAAAAGAAAGGTCTTCTGGTATTCAGTACACCGCTCTATAGTTCTAGATGCTTAATATGATATTGAGTAATAATAAAAAATCATGTTTGCCAAGACAGAGTAATTTTGACCAAATTACAGAGTTCACCTGCAGGAAGACTTGGTTTTTTGAAGCAAATGATCCCACATGAGCCATGCTTAGTTTCATAATAACTGAGAGGAAGTTCTATAAAAGGATTCTCAAATAAGTGTTACTGGCACAACTATTAAAATGTTTATTAATGATGAGAACCTCACTATTAAAGTTAATTGCTACTCCCCAAAGCAAGTATAATAATATAATTCTATGAAACCAGGCTCTTCCAAGGTACAAGGCAAAACAATCCTATAACTTCATGCCTTATGTTTTTAACTTTCAAGTTACATTTTCTCTTGCTATGATCTTTTCAAACATATGGACGTGCCCATAGCACATTCACTATTTCCTTGCTTCCAGTCTACATGATACTAGCTACAAAACTTCATTTATGTTCAGTCATTTATGTACATTCCAGATACTTCTTTCATTTATTCATCTTATCAAATTTTAATTTATGCATTCCTTTACTCCTACTAAATCTTATTTCTTCTAATTTAATTTAGAAGGAGCCATGTCAAAAAGTCATTTTAAAAAATCTTTCAAATGGGCTATATATAGAAAGCAGTGAATAATATATATATACTTTCTATATATAGAAAGCAGTGAATAAATTACTTTAAAATTATTATTTTTATAGTATGTGTATTTACATTTAAAATAAGAGATGGGTACATATATTTTGCCTATGATTTTTAAATTTTTTCCCTTTAAGAAATATTACTACTAACAAAGCCTTCAACCTGACAAGAGTATATTTCTTTCTTTGTATGGATTCATAACTATCTCCTCCTTCCTACAGATGTTTACCACTTTATATTATTTCATTTTACCTAAGAAGGAAAATATATTTTTAATGTAAAAAATAGAGTAGGTAAATGCTATCTTAAAAAGAATTTTTTTTTTCTTAAGTAAGAAGGGAAAAAATACCATTCAAGATCATAAATCCAAACAAGATTTCTCATTAGGCAATGACATAGTCAGGGTTAAACTGGGCCCAGTCAGAGAAATGCTATATCTCATTTTAAGATCCCAAAACAAAGGCAAGCCCCTAATTCTTTAAAGGATATATGCTTCTTTATTCTGTAGACTGCTCCCAACTATCAACAAGGTAGGGGTGTTTTTCCAGAACTGTTAGTGGTTTCCAGGTAAAAACACTAATTGTTGACTAAGGAAAACAATTCCCACAGCCCACTGACATCTTAAGACTCGAAAGTTCACCACCATCACCAAAAATCTTACCTAAGACTTCAAGTAGATCATTAGTAAATGCCTGAAATGCTGGGAAAAATTCCTCATGTTCTTCCAATTTGTTGATAATGCTTTTGAAAAAAATGCACAGTTTACACTAAATTACTAATTTAGGGTTCTTACATCTGATTGAAACATTTTTCAAAATGGAAAGAAATTGTCCTGTTAATTTAAATATAAATTTGACACTCATTTAGTGCAATATTTCCTTTTTGATTTTTGTCCATCTCATATTACTTTCTAAAACAAACCAACAAAGAAAGTGTTAATATCTGTTCCAAAGCTAAATTAATATAACATTCCTAATATGTGAAACTCCATTTAGCTCAAAGATTCTAACAGACTATGAATATATAGCATTTTCTTAAAATAACTGACTTTTATATCTAGCATTTATTAAACATTAATTGTCAACAGTCAGTAAAACTGGGGGGAAAAGAAAACGACCTATTGTGACATGTTCCTTTAAAAGCATGAAGTATGAGAAAACTCAAGTGTCAGATTAGATAAGGGTTCTTCTTGGAAAATTTGCAGATTATAAGGAATATGTGGTATATATATATGTGTTCTCCTTCCCCTATATTGCAGTATGAATTCTGAGGAGGGGAAGAGTTGTTTTAAATATAGCTGTAATATTTCAGTACCTCTAAAAAAAAAATCAGCTTTTATATTGGATGCCTAGCTTTAAAATAACATTTATTTTCTAATGAAATAAATATACTCTTTATTCAGTGATCTATGTTAGTATACCAAAAATAGGACTTGCTTATATATGAAGTTGCTAGCTAGGTTTAAATATCATATACCTAAATTCCCCTGGGAGCAGGGTTTTACCAATAATGTTGGGAGTCCCATCCTATATAAACTTACAGGCCATATAATATATTTTTATCTTGAAAATACTTGGTGTTACCGCCATCCCTAAGGGTATAAGATTGGTTTAGAATGTCAAGTTGTTTAAAAGGTTTTATTCCAAACAGGAAAAATAAATAACTTATGAAGTTTTAAAAGTCTTTAATTTCATCGCTCCAAACATTCCAGCTCATACTTTGCACACTTTCAAAATAAATACCTTTGGAGGTCTTCAGGTCCCAGTACCTGCATAACCTGTTCATTGATATCTTCATTTACCAGTCTACACAATTTTCCAACTGTGTCTACTAGCACACACAATGAGGCCGAGCTATCTGCCAAAGAGAAATAAAAAGGATATTTAAAAATGAATATTCAAAATCATTAAATCAAACACTTTTTGCTTTGTCAATTTTTTTACCTACTTTTGGTTGACTTATTAGAAATACTTCTTAAATGGGGGTCAAAAATAATAAAGGATCATTACCTAATTCTAAGAGTTCTTGGAGGTGTCTCACTGCATTGTTCATTTCTCCAAGTCTAGTATAAACTTCATTCATTCGGGGATACACTCCATTTAAAGAAGGGACATCAAATAATTTTTGGAAATGAGAAACAATAGCTTGCAAAGTCCGAAAGTTTGGCATATTTCTGTCCTGTCCAAAGGGAGAGAGAGACAAGAGTTTACATCTTACAACAATCCCAAATCTTTAATAAAAACTTTAAAAAGATAGAGTTCTAAGGAGAATATACCCATATCATTATCAGTAGTTAAGATTAATATAAAATGTGAGCATAGTTAAGATTAAAATAAAATGTGAGCATTTATGTATTAAATATTTACCTTTTCCTTATTTTCAACTTCTTCCAACATAGTGTCTACTATGAACAACAGATCTTCAACTTTGATACCTTCATTTTCATCATGCTTCTTCACACTGTGCCAAGGTACCAGTTCCAAAGATAGTATTTTCAAGGACTTATATAAATCCTTATAACCAAAAGAAAAAAATGGTACTATGATTTTTAAGTTTCCATAATACTAATAAAACTATCCAGACATATTTAGTATGTATATTAGTTATTATAATTATTTTTTTTAAATACCATTATCAGTTTAGAAAAAGTCTATTGGGTTTCGCCAGGTCAACAACAAAAAAATCCTGAAGCTATGAAATAAAGAATACATAATAACTCTATAAAGAAATGTTAACCTTCCATGCACAGACAGTACTGGTAAGAGTAGTGCCTGCTAGCTTTTCATCTAGAGAATAGATTGGACATAAGGTCAATTTTGAGAGAAAGAAAATAATTTAAAATCTGAAGAGAAGATAAAAACCAATTAAAATAGAATGACAGATAAGACATTCCATGTGAAGAGAGAATAAGGACCATGAAAATCTGTAGCATAGGGATACCAAAAGGAAGGAGCTGAAGGTAGAACCACCAAGGACCCAGAAGTCCAAGGGGGATCCAATATAGATTTTCAACAAAGTAACAAGCCTAAAAATGTCTTGCTTGGTAGAACAACTTTAGAGGAGGCAACCCTTATAGTAATGGCAACATCAAATAGGTAATAATAAAAACAGGTATGTTAATTGCAAGATGTAAGTTTTAAGTAACCTAAGCCTTTTTCAGTTTCACAGTTAAAAAATTAAGTCTGGTTCTATTAATAAAGCCTATAGACTCCAATAGATTTTCAAAAGGTAAAAAGAATATTCAACCCCTTACCTTTAAGGAAGTCAGCTGATCTGCCCACATTTCTATTATTGGAATAAGATGCTCAAATCCACAATCTTGAACAAAATCTTTATGAAAATGCTGGGCTCCTCCTTTGCTCTGTTTATAAATTATTATTGGAGCTCTTGGGTTGTGAATAATTGAATTGATGCTACACAGGACCTTTTAAAAATAGTGTTTTTAGTTAAAATGTTTATCACAGTCCTTTCAAAGTGATACATATTAAAAGGTGGCTTTATCTGTCAACAAAACATCATGTCCAGAGTTAATTTCAGTATTAAGAACATCTTTAGGGCCTCCCTGATGGTGCAAGGGGATAAGACACAACCTATGAATCTATCCACAACCATTGCAGCACGAGTTCGATCCCCAGCCAGGGAGCTACCCACATGGCACAGCAGACCTCTCCTGTCTCGCCCACTGGTCCCCTCAGCAGTGTATTTCATCAGTCTGCCTGTTCTGTTCCCCGCTCTGTCTCTGGAGAATCCTCTCACCCCCCACACACACCTCTGGTTTGTACCCCAGTTCTTGTATGCATAAATAAGCAATTAAAAAAAAAGAACATCTTTAATAAGAAATAAGATTGACACTTGTATTGTTTGGAAGTACAACAGTTTCACCAATATGATTAAACATATACGTTCTTTTTTTTTTTTTTAAAGATTTATTTATTTATACAAGCACTGGGTACAGTCAGAAGAGTGGTAGGGTAAGAGAATTCACCAGAGCCAGAGCAGGGAGCAGAGCAGGCAGAAGGACCGAAGTACACTGCTGAGGGGAGCAGCGGGCAGCAGGAGAGGTCTGCGCGCCATGTGGGACCTTCCTCCGGTGGCCTGGGAGCAGCCAGGGATCGAGCCGGCGCTGCAGAGGCTGCCGGCAGCTTCGCAAGCCAGCGCTCAACCGCGGCGCCACCAGAGAGACCCTAAACATATACGTTCTAATGAAAAACATAGGCTGCAGAAAAATCGACATATATTTTTAACAGATTTAGATTTGAAAGTAGTTTATGAATAATCTATCATAATCCACATAGGGAGAATCATCATTCAGAATCCTTATCTAGTCTCCACATTTCTTATTTCTATCTCCTCCCGTTTAAAACTAAGTTAGATGTTAAAGGGGGGATTTCCTGTGTCTTCATAGCTTCAGCTAAAGTTCAAAGTAAGAACAGTGATACAGGGCCTCCCCTGGTGACGCAGCGGTTGAGCGCTGGGTTGTCAGGCTGCCCACAGCCTCTGCAGCGCCAGTTCGATCCCCGGTCACCAACGAGGGTCCCACAAAAAATTAAAAAAAAAAAAAAAAAAGTATAACACATTCTAAAGACAAGTCCTGGAAACATCATGTAGGTTTTGCTAAGAGTTAATCTTTGCAAAGCATATCCTGGATAGCCACAAGCTTATCTAGGAAAATGTCAGATTCGTTAGACAGGATTCACTAACAAAAGTGTTTTTTAAAGGAATTGTACAGCACTAGTGAGTGAAAAATGCCATGTTTGTGAGAACAAAGAAACAGATCACACTCCTTTGCCACACTGTTTGAACTGGTTGGATGATTGAAATTTTGACTGAGATTTGAAATATGTTACTCCCAATTTTCCATTAAGAAAATTTTGAAACATACAGAAAATAAAAATATAAACATTGGATTAGTTAAGATTCTGAAGAGAAACAATCAGGAGGATGTATTTATTATAATAAGGAATTGGCTCACACAGTTATGAAATTGACAGAGCCCAAAGATCTGTAGTTGCCAATTTGGAGACACAAGAGGGCTCATAGTATAATTTCAGTCCAACTGTCAGTAGTCTCAAGACCCAAATTTGTGGTTTCAAATCAAGTAAAGGCAGAAAAGAAAGAAACATCCCAGCTAAAAGGTGGTCATGCAGGCAGAGTTCCCTCTTACTAAGAGTTTTTGTTCTATTCAGGCTTTCAACTAACTGGGTAAGACCCACCTGCATTGGGAAGGGCAATCTGTTTACCAGCTACCCTTTCAAATCTTAATCCTGAAACAACATCCTCACAGACAGACCCAGGACAATTTGACCAAATATCTGAGCACCTCATGTTCCAATCAAGTTGCCACATAAAATGAAGTATTACGAATATCCATATAATCATGACATGGATTCAACAATTGTTAACATTTTGTTATATTTGCTTGGCTCTATCTACCTATATGTATTTTTAGCTGAGCCACTTGAAAATAGATATAACATTTTACCCTCAAATACTTAAACATGCATCTCTTAAAATTAGGCAAATTCTCCTACAAAATCACAAATAGGAAAATTAACAGTAATTTCCTAATGCCATCAATACCTGGACTGAACTTTAAATATCTAAATGTACAGTATGTGAGTGACTACAATACCCATGCCAACTGATGCCAACTGATATTAGTTCTACCTTATATATCACCCAAGAAAAGGAGACCCAAAACAACATGTTTAAAGGGGAAAGAGTAAAGCCATTTTCTATTTACCACCAAATCCAGTCAATTTAATAAACAGTTACACTATTATAAATAGTATAAAGACAAGTTACCATTGTGATACACATAACCATTGTTACCTTGAATCATTGCTCCTACTCATACTTCAAATTATAACTCACAGGTCTCCCATGACTTCAGATGTTTACTGAGGACTTTTTTTTCCGTTCAAGAGAGTATATTTCACTTCTAATATATTTAAACATTTTTATGAAAAAAAAATCAGTTTCCCTTCTACTGAATTATTATTGAGAGCAGAGCATATTCTTACTTATATCTAGCCACACTCTGATCACTGGCAACAAAAGATAGTCAACAATGATGAAATGGCAAAATGAACTAAACAACTCCCAGAGATGGGAATTAAAAAAAAACTCACAAAATAGTCTTACCTGATTCAGAAAGAGTTTGCATATACTGAGAGATTCTTGATACAGATAAAAATATATTTTAGGGGTCATCATTAGAAAAATAAAAAGAATTAAGACAATGAACATCCTGAGAAAAATAAAAAAGAAATCTCAAGCAAGTAAATGTCAGGTAAAGAAAAGAAACAAGAACCAAGAATAAAAGCTAATCTATGAGTTGGTCTTAATGTCAGTTATACTGTGTACATGAAAGTTATCTAAAAACATTTTTTTTTTTCCAGAAAGGTGTTTAGACCTAATATGAACACAGCTATAATAATTAGAAAAATGTTTGGGGAACATATTTATGAACAACTAATCTTTGACAAAGGAGCAAAGAATATGCAATGGAATAAGGACAGTTTGGCCAATAAATGGTGCTGGGAAAACTGGACGAATACATGCAAAAGAATGAAGCTAGACTACTATCTCACACCCTGCACAAAAACCAACACAAAATGGATAAAAGAATTGACATAAGACCTGAAACCATAAAATATCTAGACTAAACTTGTTTGCATATAAATGTTAATAGTACATCTCTATTCTCTGGATTTCTACTGTCTGTTATACTTTCTCCTTTTATTTATAATCCTACGTGTTTGGGTTTTCTCCTTTTTTTTCTTTGTGAGCCTTGTTTAGGGTCTTGTCTATTTTCCAAAGACCAAGTTTTGGTTTCATTCATCTTTTTGGATTCTCTTTTTTTAAATCTATTGTATTTGTTTCTGCCTTAATTTCTATTATTTCCTGTCTTCTACTGGCTTTTGGATTTTTTTGTTGTTACTTTTTCTAGTTCCGCAAGATGAGAGATCAGGTGGTTTCTTTTGAGTTATTTCTTGCTTCTTGATATGGGCCTGTATTGCTATATATGTTCCTCTTAATACTGTTCTTGCTGTGTCCCATATGTTCTGGAAAGTTGTGTCATCTTTGTCATATGTCTTAAGGATTTTTTTTTAATTTCATCTTTGATTTCCTCATTAACCCAATGGACTCTCAGCTCAGCAACCAAAAAAAAAGACAAACTCATGCCATTTGTAGCAACTTGGTTGGAGGTGGAAGGGATTATGCTAGCTGAAATTAGTCAGAATGAAAGATAAATACCGGATGGTCTCACTTATATATGGAATATAGAGAAACCAAACAAAAGGTCAAGAAAAAGTCAACTGACCATAGAACTAAGGCATACAGCAAAGGATGAGGGGCAAAACAGGGGAGCGGTGAACACAAGGGAATATGGTTATGGATCACAGGTGATACAGTGGTGGGAGAACTATGAGGACTTACAGTGATGCAAGAAAAAAATTTTAATTAAAAAAGAAAATAGATTTATATACTATTACTACTGCCACTACTACTATTACTAATTCCAACAACAAAAACAGTAAAAAGGAAAATGACTTAAGGAACAGGGGAAAATGACAAAATCTTTTAAAAAATCAAACATTTTATTACCCTGCTTTGAACTAAGTCAATTCTCTTTTAAAGGGTAAGGTAAATTCTAAATCAAGTTATTAGCTGCAATGTTTTTAGCCAAGTAGGTATGTCATCACAAGACAAAACAGAATAAGCACACACAAGTACAGAATATTAGTATTCCTTACCAACTGATGATTTATTTATTACACTGCTAGAGAAACCATGGTTCATTACAAATACCAGTCTCCTTGCTCAGTTAGTACCTGAAAGTATCTTTGGTCAAGTAGAGCCTGATGCTGGTTATCTTTGTTGAGCTCATCTTTTTTCTCTGTGTCATCAGTTTTATTTTGATGGATAAGATTCTTTAGTCTAAAGGGAGAGAAAAATCAAGGTAACAAAAAATGTTTTCCTAAACACTTGGATTAAGATGATAAACTAAAACAATGACCCAGATACTCTCCCAACCAGTTTTTAACATACATGTGCACATAAACATAATTTATTTTTTAAATTTTAAGCCATGGTGACACAGGGGTTAAGTCTCAGCACGATGAAGCGATCCCCAGCCAGTGCAGCATGAGTTCGATCCCCAGCCAGGGAGCTAACCCACGTGGCACAGCAGACCTCTCCTGTCTTGCCTGTTGCTCCCCTCAGCAGTGTATTTCAGTAGATCTACCCATTCTGCTCCCCACTCTGTCTCTGGTGAATCCTCCCACCCACCCCCTGCACCTCTGGTCTACACCCCAGTTCTTGTATGCATAAATAAATCTTAAAAAATTTTAAGCCATACTGTCACTGGCAAATAAGATCCTGTCAATAGAGTAGCATATATTTGCTAGCATAATTTAGAAGGAATCCCTGAAAACAACTGATCAGACTAAAGAGGAAAGTTCTAACCACTCCCCAAAACTGACAAAAAATAGAAGAGGAAAGAACAACAGCAAAGAATGGAAGCAATTTCCAAGGTGCTCTTATCTTGGAGGCCATAGGGAGAGGAGCAAGTAACAATGGGCAGGGTAACTGGTTTGGATACTATAGAAGCAAAAGATGTATAGGTTGATCCTTCCTTTTCCATACTCCACTTGTGCAAGAAAGCAGACAATGATGCCTGGGCCAGTCAAGAGAAGGCAAGGAAACCCAAGAATCCTTGTCCCAAGTGAAATCAGAACTCTGAGAGAGCCTCTTTGCCCAGAAATCTGTGTGTGAGCATAGCCATGTAGCATCTCATTCTTCTCCAAATATCTCTAGAGTCAGACCATAACAGACATTCTTCCTCCTACCCACCATGCCTTTGATAAAAGCAGCCTCTTATTAAACACTTCAAATTAGCCATCTCAAATCTGAGTATACCTATTAGTTTACTACAGAATCCTGATCCATTAAACTGACTCCATGACTAACAAGCTCCACATGCTATTTGAAAATAGAATGGTAATATAATAATATAATACTCCATCAGGTTAAGTGCTGCTAAAAAACAATCACTGGCTTCCCACTGCTTTGTGAACTCGTTTTCACATTCGACTAACTGGGGTTAGCATTCAAACTTCACCATGCCATTAGTCCTAACCCAATATTCTTCCTTTCTTACTATTATTCTACAATTAGCTGTTCAAGTCACTTGTACTGTCTTTTATGTTCACTCAATTACTATTCTCTGCTTTTTGGTGATTATATACCAATATCAAATTAATAGAATTAGCTCCAAAGAGTCAAACTCCTTCCTCTAATAGACATGGAAATCTCACAATCCATTTTCTACTTGACTTCTACCTAATTACCATACTCACTTATTTTACAGTTTTACCCAAAGGCAGTGCCAGGAGCATATTATCTAGAATACAAAAGGGACATAGAAAAGCCAATATGGTCTCTAGTGGAAATACAAATAAACTGATATATTTGAATTTAAATGTTATTCTTATCAATGAACTGTTTGTAAGTCTGATTACCAAATATTACATTATGATAAAATTTTAGCTATCAGTGCTATAACCTAAATATATAATAGCATGTACTATCTACAGTCGCTCTGAGAAATGAAGTGTAAAAAGGAATAAAGAGGGCTTCCCCGGTGGCGCAGCGGTTGAGCGCTGGGTTGCGAAGCTGCCCGCAGCCTCTAAAGCACTGGTTCGATCCCTGGCTGCTCCCCGGCCACCGGAGGAGGGTCCCACATGGCGCGCAGACCTCTCCTGTCGCCTGCTGCTCCCCTCAGCAGTGTACTTCGGTCCTTCTGCCTGTTCTGCTCCCCGATCTGGCTCTGGTGAATTCTCTCGCCCTCCCGCGCTTTTGACTGTACCCAGTGCTTGTATAAATAAATAAATAAATCTTAGGGGAAAAAAAAAAGGAATAAAGATCCCCTCATTTAACAATGCTTGTAACATATTGGGAACCTGATGATAATTACTATTTATTGAAACCTCTACACAGAAACCCAAGCATTGTACATGTATTAATTTACTTAATCTCACTTTTTCTAAAGTTACAGAAAATAAGAAATAGTAAAAGCTAGGGTCTCGTGGGAAATTAACTTTTGGTTCACATAGTCTCACAGTAAATAGCTGCCATACCATACTATTCCTGGAAAAAAACTTTGTATTCTGCAAAACTATACACATGTAAAAATAACTGAACTCAGGAAAAAAGTTGTTAGAAATCAAGCTATTTATAAGTGATAAAGCTTTGCAAGTAGAGAACAATAACTGGTACCTCAGGAGATAAGTGAGATAGCTCAAGTATATTTCCAGGTTACGAGAGATATTAAAAATGCACATGGGCCTCCCCTGATGGTGCAGGCGGTTGAGCACAGCATTGTGAAGCTGTCCGCACTTCCGCAGCGCTGGTTTGATCCCGGCCAACCAGCAAGGGTCCCACATGGCACGGCAGACCTATCCTGTTGTGCCCAGCTGCTCCCCTCAGCAGTGTATTTTGTCAGTCTGCCTGTTCTGTTCCCTGCTCTGTCTCTGGTGAATCCTATCACCCTCCCACGAATCTGGCCTGTACCCCAGTTCTTGTATAAATAAATAAATAAATAAATCTTTTTAAAAATAAAAAATAAAAATGCACAGACAACAGAGCAGGAATGTTGGTTTGAGGATGCCAAGACCATGCAGACATGGAGCTCCCAGTCAAAGAAGTTGAGATTAAAAAAGGCAGGGAAGGAGGGTCTCCCCTGGTGGCGCAGTGGTTGAGTGCCTTGCTGCAAAGCTGCCCGCAGCCTCTGCAGCAACAGTTCGATCCCTGGCCGCCAGGCAAGGGTCCCACATGGTGCGCAGACCTCTCCTGCCGCCTGCTGCTCCCCTCAGCAGTGTACTTTGTCACTCTGCCTGCTCTGCTCTCCCCTCTGGCTCTGGTGCATTCTCTCGCCCTCCCGCACTTCTGATTGTACCCAGTGCTTGTATAAATAAATAAATCTTTAAAAAAAAAAAAAAGGCAGGGAAGGAAATACAACTTGCCTCCAGCCTACAGTCTGTCTAACACTGGGCATCACTAAGGAGAAGGCCTGGTTGAAGTTCTTCATTCTAAATTTTTTTAAAATAGAGTTAAAAGGGCAGTTGCTATGCACTAGTGAAGCTGTTTGCCCTAATAGTAGTCAGTACTGCTGGCAATTCTAACCTTTGTACCCTGGAAAAAAATAACATGTGAACAATGCAACTTTTATGTTACATTACTAATCATTCCCCTACTTTCCAATTGTACATGAATTAAATGACATTTTAGAAACCAATATTGAAGCAGAATACTCTGTAGTAAGATATGTGCTACGGTTGTTTTGTTGTTTCCAGAAGGCCATGAAAATCCTCTAAGAGTGGTCTAGGGTCATTCTTCCCAAAAACGTTCAAACAGGTTTTTTCCAAAATGTCCAAAGTAGGCTTTTTCCAACACATATTATCTTAGTTATATAGAATTAAGGTCAATCAAGACTCTGTGGGCCTCAGAAAAAACCTGTTAACTCAACATTAATGCAGATTACCTAGATTTAGGGGCCTCTCCAGAAATAACATTTTGATCAGAGAAACCTCTCATAATGCAGGGCAAACATCTAGAGGCAAGTTTTTGTCACATGAAGTTGTCATCTCTTTGGCAGGTGAGACCCACTCCTCTCTCCTTGATAGCACGGGTCCCCTATCTCCTATTCCACAACACAGGATATAAACCTCCAGTTTGTCCCATTTACTTTAGTATTTACAGCCATGTTATTAAGCTGGTCTTCTCTCCTACTAATCTGTCTGATGTTGATTTGTTTGCTTCACTAGCTGGAAAAGAACAGAGGGTTTAGGGATTTTCCCCTATGCACCAACAGTGGTTGAGGCATAGTTTACAGACACAGCCAACAGCAACAGCTGTGTTTCTTCTCAGATCGTAGGAAGCCCATAAAATGCAACTTTCAACTTAAAATATATAGTGCTGTTTCGTTTTCTATAGCCATCTTTATAACTTTCAATAACTTTTAACTGTGTCTTCGAAGTTTTTCCATGATGTCACAGTGACCCTCATTCTGGAGATGAGAAATGAGCTGCAAGTGGAAGGCCAATTTTGCTGTTAAAGTATGCTAATTTAGCCACAATGATACCAAACACATGTGTGCATCAATGTAAGCCTCTCAAAGTTATATGGTCCCTGAGTTCTTACCCCCACATTCCTAGGATTTTTGAGTCAATTAGTGACCAAAAAAAAAAAAGGTTGGCAACACCAATGCCACAACTCTGAAGGCAACTACTTCTCTGGGAGCGAGGTCCAACTCCATGCCAAATGCTGGGTGTTATCTTTTAGGTCCGAATCATAGGTAATTACAAGGGCTATGCCTGGAAGGTTTCCTGGAGAAAGGTTCATATACCAGACACATGCATAGCCTATGCACAGCAATCTCTCTAGAGGGAGTTGCTGTCAAGGTACTCAGCTCCACTATCTAATGCCACCCCTACCCCTGGTCAACTATCCTCACCTGCGTTTCTAGCCCTAACCTTCATTCTGAGGCTTCTTTATTGGGGGGCTCTGAAGGAGGCATTTTTCACTTCTCCTGATGAGGTGGTCATAACTAAAATACTTTCTCCACTCTGACTCAGTAGTTTTCCACTCCAAGCCTGCCCCCTAGGTCAATGAAACAGAAGTCTTTTGTGCAAGATTTCTAGTTAGCAAGTTGTTTCCTCCCATCTGTGCTGCATGTCACTGACTAACCCATGCTTGGTGCCACTCCATGAGGGAAAAATGGAACACTGAAGAGCCAGCCTGTAGGGTAAAGAAAATATCAGGCTTTTCTGCCCTCCCGCCATCAGGATAGATGATGGATCCTTGTCCTGAATGCATGCCTGATGGCGGGCACCTGGAATAGGGTGTGGGCATAGGTAGATGGGATTCAGCTGAGCTAAGACTGTGCTTTTAAGGGCGGCGTCACGGGGACGCCAGCAGCAGCAGTAGAAGCCGAAGCAGAAGCTGAAAGAGAAGTCAAGAAGCAGCAGAACGAACGCCAGAGAGTCCAGATAAAGACTTGCTGAAAAAAGAGCCAGCACCCCTGCCTGCCATATGCCTGGTGAACCCCAATAAAAAACCTGCAAAACCACCGAGGGTTCTAGGACTCTCTCCTTTACCCCTTCTGCATGAATCATAGAGATCCTGCTCCGTGTCCTTCTGCCATTACACAGCCCTTTTCTTTTTGGCCTTTCTTATACTACTACACTAAGTAAATAAAGCCTTGATTATTAACTTCAGTTTGGCTCATTGTCCACCTTTCACCTGCCACCTCAGCATCACAGGGTAGCAATCCTAGGGTAGCAGGACTCTGATTTGGTATTCTCCTAGCAAAATATAAATACTGTGGAACCTACTTTTAATCAAACAGATTCTGTCTTGTCTCTGCCATGTTGAGAATTCTGGAGGAGTTACTGAGTTCAGTCTGACCCTGTTTTCACCTTATCAGTAACTAGGAAAGAAACAAGGGACCATCTGTTGATTGTTACAAAAGACCCCACACTGTACTTTTTTTTGCCTAAGATTTTTGTCAACCCATCATAAAAAGACAAAAGAACCGAAACCAAAAGTTTCAGCACAAATGACCCAAGCTCAGCTCACTTCCTTGCTTAGCCCTTTAAAACTTCCTATTTCCTAACCTTGGTAAAACTGACCCTTGGTTGTAGACCCAAATCCCTATTCTCAAATAAATGCTTTCTTAATTACATTAGTCAGATTATTTCTTTGTCAACAATACCACTGAAGGAGGAGATGGAATTAGTGTAGTCACTTTGGTCATCTAGCACAGGCAGATTTATTTGATCACTTGCTAGCAACAGAATTTTATAACCAACGTTTTTGCAAATATTAATTCAAAATGAAGAGTCCACGTTTTCCCATGTTAAAATAATCTCCTTTGATACTGAAGGTTGGTTATTTGAAAGCTAACTACAAATATAAAGAAAAAGAAATTTTTTCCTGATTTTATAAAAGGGAATAGACTTTCACCTCCTTATATTTCCTTTGGAAAACTTGCAGTAGTAAATCCCTTCTCTATCTAAGAAGTATATAGATCTTTTTAAAAGCTAGACTAATTTCTGGTCAATTTCACATCCTGGGATTGTCTTTCTTGGGAATCCTGGAACCATTCCTTTGAAATGTGAGTAGAAAGGAGGACAGTGGCCTTATAGCTCTACTATATGGAGGTTAGCCTAGGCACCTGGCTCTAAGTTATAACTTCCTTAAGTTTAATTTTTCCTTTGGCTAAAGAATTAATATCTATGTAATTACTACTGCCTGGTAATAAAAAGGGTGAGATTTTCGTATTTGCAATCTCTTTAGCAGATTGTCCACTAATGTTCATTATAGTCTACTGAATGTCAATTCACTAAAAAACTGTTTCCTTTTCCCTTCTATGTGGAGGGTTCCTTTTCCCTTCTATTTGGAGGGTTCACTCCAAATATATATATGTGTATGTGTATGTATATCACAATACTGCATGCTGCTGGTCACAATTTCCTCAACTAAGCAATCAACAACCTTGCTTTATATGTGTTAATATTTAAAGACATCTTATTTAAAATTATTGACTCATTAACATAGAACTCAGTGCCAACAACACTATAACTCATGCCTAAATGAAGCTTCTGTAGCACATGTATTTTCTCTGTAAGTTACATCACAGTATCACAGTCTTCTTGCAGTAGAACACTAGATAGCAATTCAGCACCACTTGGGGACCATCTTGGAGAAATTGCCAACAAAAAAAAGCACAAAAGTGCAAAAAAAAAAAAAAAAAGGCCAAGTGATACTATGACTACAACAAGGATGCTCATTTATAGTGTGAGAGCTGAAATAAGAGATAAGAGGGGCAGACTGTCCTCTGTAGAACAGCTGGAAATGTGTGCACTGGGCATATTCACCAATAATTGTGAAAGTGTAACAAGTATTGATTTAGGGTTAAAAATAAATGTTAGCAGGTAGGCAAATTTACAAATATGGAATCAATGAATAATGAGGACTGACTATATATCTCTATGTATGTGTAAGTCCCTGCATGTATCTTTGTGAAGTCAGTGAGATTCCTTTGAAGGAGGATTAGGATATGCAACTCCAAAACATGCCACATTGACAGGACAAATATTTTAAGCTAGAAGGAATCTGAGAAAAAGCAAGTACAAGAAAGACTCTCTGACCTCCCCCTTCTCCCCTGAAGCAGATCATAAGACCCTCATGTGACAGATGTCCTCCCTAAACTTAGAGGAAAGGAGAATCTTTATCTCTGAAGACAGAGGGATGCCAACAGGAGTCTGGGTTTCCCCTAGTTTACTACCCATTGGCTCTCTTTTTATCCTATCATGTTTTTCTGCAGCTTTCCATTCATTAAATCCATTGAAAAAATAAACTAGGGCCTCCCCTGGTGGCGCAGCAGTTGAGTGCTGGGCTGCAAAGCTGCCCGCAGCCTCTGCAGCACCAGTTCCATTCCTGGCCACCGGGCGTGGGTCCCACATGGCGCAACAGACCTCTCCTGCCACGTCCGCTGCACCCCTCAGCAGTGTTTCGTCACTCTGCCTGTTCTGTTCCCCGCTCTGGCTCTGGTGAATTCTCTCACCCTCCCATGCTTCTGACTGTACCCAGTGCTTTATAAATAAATAAATAAATCTTTAAAAAAAAGAAAAAAACTAAACCATTTCTTCAGATTTTCACTTCCTTATGAAGGCTCCCAAGTCACATAAAATTTATATTAAATAAATGTGTATCCTTTTCATTATTTATCTTTGTCAGTTTAATTTTCAGGCCCAGTCAGGGACCCTATGAAGGATGAGGAAAAGTTTTTCCTATCCTACAGCTTGTCTTCTGAATTTTTACCTCCCTTAATTTTCCACTTCCCAGTTGTTTCTTGACCAATATTCCCCATCTCGGTTAATACACCAGCAGCTATCTAGTTATTCAGGCCTTTTAAAAATAATTTTCCGGGTCTCCCCGGTGGTGCAGCGGTTGAGCGCTGGGTTGCAAAGCTGCCCCGCCGGTTTGATCCCCGGCTGCTCCCCAGCCACTGGAGGAGGGTCCCACATGGCGCGCAGACCTCTCCTGCCGCCCGCTGCTCCCCTCAGCAGTGTGCTTTGGTCCTTCTGCTTGCTCTGCTCCCCGCTCTGGTGAATTCTCTCACCCTACCGCGCTTTTGACTGTACCCAGTGCTTGTATAAATAAATAAATCTTCAAATTCTTTAAAAAAAAAAAAATTTCCCCCCTCAATGCCCATATCCAATCTATTTTCAAGTCCCATTAGTTCTTTCTCTAATAATCCCAAACACTTTAACACTAACCTCCACTACTGCCACCTTTGACATTGTCACCACTATCTCTTATCCACACTCAAATAGCAACTCAGCCACTATTTTTTTACATTTAATACTTATACTATGGCATTGTCTTGTTTTTTCATTGTCCTTCTCCCTTCATATAATCTCCACAAAGGCAGGGATCTTTCCAACTTGGTTTACCATTGTAACTCCAGTACCCACAATGTCAAGCAGAGAGTAAGTAGAGGCACTATAGGTAGCCAAAATGTCATGCTATGGTAAGAAGGGAAAATATATTAATTGAATGGTGCATGCATCCTTTCCAAACACTCTACTTTTTTTTTCAGTTTCTAATCCACACTATCTTAGTTTAACTCAGTATGTAATTCCTGATGTCCAAAATACTTGCCTCTCACTATGGCATGTTAAAACATGAGGACCAATTTTTGAAACTCCTGAGTACATGATTTTCAAAGTCAAAAAAGGTACAAGTGGTAGATATGAATGGCTCACTGCATTCATTCTGGTGCTTTTAAAGTGCGATGAGTCTATATACTATTCAGGTCATAACTACTTTCAACAAAAATGTGGGGCTTGTCATCTTTAATTTCTATGATTTTCTTGCAATTCCTCCAGGACTTCCAAAGCTTATCTTCTAGTTAAAATCTTTGCTTTTTATTACATCAAACAACCACTTTTTTCTTGTTCTTATTTAAGGTTATTATTTAGCCAAATCCAAGGCAACAAAAACTTTTTTAACAGCCAAATTAGATATATTCCTTCTAATGTCATCTCCATCCATCAACCTATAATTTTAGGATAAGCATGAAGTGAGCTGACAGGTTATGAAAATAGACAATAAAATATAAAACTCAAAGCTATAACTGGTAAAATATAATTACCTGGTGCTTTTCATAAGGGCTTTCTCCAGCTTCTTTACCTGATGTTTATAAAGTCTTAATTCATGTTGTGTGGGCCTGTAGAAAATAAATCAAATTGAATGAATTTATTGATAAAACTATAAGGATATTCAATAACAACAGAGTATACCATGCTACTTTCATAAATATGGTTATTAATCTTAAACTATTTTATAACTGCTAGTGAAGTGTTATAGCTCACTATTTCTTTTGTATATTCTCTACTCAAAACTTTTCAACCACTTTTTATCTTGATAATGAACTAATTGTTTTTAATGAAATATTTCAAATGTACAGAAAAGAATATAGAGGTATTATAAAACTCTACAGTTTCATAAAAGCAGAATATTAATTTGTTTCAAATCCTTTTACCTATTTGTATACCCCTCATTTTTTCATTACTTTCCTTCCCATTCCACAGGTAATCCCTACCATAAATTCACTAGTATTCATTCCCATGAATGTTTTAAAATACTTACTCTACACTTATATTACCATAAATGTACATATTATTGTGACAAGTTTTTAAACTTTATGGAAGTAGCTTATACATATCAGCCCCCTCTCCATTAAAGTATAAATGCTATGCAAAGCATACTTTTTCAGTCATTGTATTATTCCAAAGGATAGTGTTAAAGTTGTTCAATAAGTGTTTGTTGAATGAAAAGTCTCAAAAATGATCATTCCTTCTGATCACAAAAATCTACGAAGAGCTGGAGACTCAACAAAAACAAAGTAAATAATCCAGTAAAAAAATGGACAGAAGAGCTAAAAAGGAACTTCTCCAAAGAGGAAATGGTAATGGCCAACAGGCATATGAAAAAATGTTCAGCATCAGGGCCTCCCTGGTGGTGCAAGGGGTTAAGATGCAACCCTATGAAGCAATCTGCAGCCACTGCAGCACGAGTTTGATCCCCGGCCAGGGAGCTACCCACTTGGTGCAGCAGACCTCTCCTGTCTCACCCGCTGCTCCCCTCAGCAGTGTATTTCAGTCGGTCCTCCTGTTCTGTTCTACACTCTGTCTCTAGTGAATCCTCTCACCCTCCACACCTCTGGCCTGTGTCCCAGTTCTTGTATGCATAAATAAATAAATCTTTAAAATGTTCAGTATCACTTGTAATCAGGGAAATGAAAATCAAAACTACAATGGGATACCATCTTACACCAGTGAGAATGGCACGTATTAAAAAAACTATCTACAACAAATGCTGGCGAGGATGTGAAGAAAAAGGAACTCTCCTGCACTGCTGGTGGGAATGCAAACTGATCCAACCACTATGGAAAGCTGCGTGGAGATTCCTCAACCTGCTAAAGATGGAGCTTCCATATGATCCAGCAATTCCACTCCTAGGTATTTACCCAAAGGACACAGAAACATTAATTCCAAAGGGCACCTGCACCCCTATGTTTATAGCAGCACTATTTACAGTAGCTAAGCTATGGAAACATCCCAAATGCCCAAAAATAGATGACTGGATCAAGAAGATGTGGTGCATATACACCATGGAGTATTACTCAGCAATCAAAAAGATAAACTCACGTAATTTGCAGCAACATGGATGGAGCTGGAAGGGATGATGCTAAGCGCAATAAGCCAGAAAGAAAAAGAAAAATACCAGATGGTCTCACTCATAGCAAGAATTTAGAGACCTAAATAAGGGACCTGGAAAATGACTAATTATAATAAAGTAAAAATCAAAGTCAACAAGCAACTATAAACCAGACACACACTATTGTGGGGGTGGTGAGGTGAGAGAAGAGGGGGGGAAGGATTAGGGTCAAAATAAGGGGGGTGGGAATTGTATGGGGAATATAACCAAGATGAAAATGCATACACTGTGCAAAAATGAAAAATGATGTAAGAAATATATAAAATGAATTTTAAAAAATGATCATTCCTTTATTACTTAAGGATATCAATGCATAGGTATCCTTCTGTAGGTATAACATACATATAAATATATACACCTATATATCCTACCTACAGGTATCTCTCTCTATATATATTATATATAGATATATACAGGTATATCTCTCTATATGTATTAGAGAGATATATTATGTATAGAGATATATATAGACATCTGTATATAGTGTATATGCAATTATTATATATATATAAATATATACCTTTTTGTTGTATGCCATTTAAATGTTTTCTCTTCTCCTCCCATAACATAGAAATAAGATGAAGTAATAAGGCATTCTAAAGTAATCTGGGAATGGGAAACCTGCTGGTATAAAACTGATTCCACTCGATTTCTGACCCAATTTAATCTTCTTCAGTGTGGACTCCTTTTTTCTTACTTCCCTATCCTATTTAGACATTCTTGTTTCTTCCATCATGAGAGACAAGTGACTAAAATGAGAAGTATGAGGTCTCCAAGGTTAGTTTTACAGTAAAGGAGTTTGAATGATCACTGAATATCTCAAGAATTGATATATATTTATTTTCCAAAGGATAAGTAAAAATTACAAGTTTCTCTCACCTGGTTTCCAAAGCTTTTTGGAGATTCAGCTTTTCACTTAAAAGTACATCAATCTTAGAGTTTGCTTCCTTCAGTTCATTCTGCAATGACTATAAACACATTCCATAGAAAAAGTTAACTTTCCTAAGAGATTATTTTACTTTAATAGAAAAGTATTTATTAGTCATGCCATCCCATACCATTAGAAGGCCTTTATAAGTTGGTGAGGCATTCAGAATTCTGTAATCCTTTTCTTCTTCTGACTGACTTTCATCTTCTTTATATTGCCTATGAAAAGATACATGCATTGTACTTCTTATGAAAAGTCTTTCAGGGAAAAAAAAATCTAGCTAACAGAATTTAAGTCAAATTACAACAAGGGTTTAGAGACCTATATATTAATTAAAATTCAAGCCAGGGGCCTCCCCAGTGGCGCAGCGGTTGAGCGCTGGGTTGTGAAGCTGCCCGCAGTCTCTGCAGCGCAGGTTCGATCCCCAGCTGCTCCCCAGCCACCGGAGGAGGGTCCCACATGGTGCGCAGACCTCTCCTGCCGTGCCCGCTGCTCCCCTCAGCTGTGTATTTCGTCAGTCTGTCTGTTCTGCTCCCTGCTCTGGCTCTGGTGGATTCTCTCACCCTCCCGCGCTTCTGACTGTACCCAGCGCTTGTATAAATAAATAAATAAATTTTTTTTTAAAAAAATTCAAGCCAAATTTCCTACTTTTTCTTACAGAGAATGGTATTAGAACACACTATTATATATAAACTAAATATTAATATACTAATATTATAGTATGTATCAGTTCACTCCTTAATTAGAATGCAAGATCCATGAGGACGAGACTGTCTTGCTCACCACTATACCTCACTGTAAGAGTACGGGGCATAAGAATGGGGTTAAAAAAATACTCGGTGAATGAATAAACACGTTGTTTTTTTCTGACTAGTACTTTTAGATCAACAAAAAACATGAAAAAAATGTAAAGTATAAGTGGACAAAGCAACAGATTTAATAGTCCCAATTCAATTCTTGATACCACCATTAACCAGTTGTTTTCTGAATAGGTCAATCACTTAAAATTTGTTTTCTCACATGTAAAACAGAGATATTATTACATCTATCTCACAGAACTGGTGTGAAAGTAAATGAGATATTAAAATACTCAGTGATCTACAAAATGCTAAAAAATCAGCACTATATTTTTAATAATCCTGTTAAACTAACACTGGGCTCTTCTATGTAGTAACCAAGTTTCATGTGGGTAATAAGCACCTGAAATATAGCTGACTGAAGAACTAAACTTTTATTTTTATTAAAAATTAAAAACTGAAGCAGTGTAAAATATTTTTTCTGTTAAACACAACTTTATTATTTAGAACTATAGTCCTTCCCTTAACTGTTACATCAGGTAACATATTACCATTGTAACCTCCTATGCACTGGGAATGTGCATGGTTTGTAGTACTACATATACATACCACCAGTTTAGTCTCCTCCATGAATTAATTCAATTCAAATGATTTTTTTTGTAATATTGTAGTGCTTACTGAACACTGTAGTGGTCATTTATCTACTGTTGTTTATGGTGATACCAGTATAAATCAGATTTGATAAATTGATATACTTATTTTAGTTATAAGAACTATTTTTCTAGTTTAAAAAATAACTATGGACAGATTTTTTTTAACAGAATCAAATGGAAATAATGGCATCCAACACAGTATAACCCTAAAAAAAATTCCAAATGAATGCTATTATAGTTTGCTGTAAAACAGAATAAGAAACCCTCTGGTTCACAAATGACAAAAAGAAAAAAGTTAAACTGGACTTCAACAAAATTTTAAAATTCTTGTACTTCTAAGGACATCAAGAACAAAAAGTCAACCCACAGAATGGGAGATGTTAGCAAAATTGATGAAGAACTTGTATCTTGACTACACAGAGAACTCTTACAAACTCAGCAATACAAAGACAAATAATTCAATTAAAAAAACAAGCAACCTCTCAATAAAAGATATGCAAATTAACAATAAGCATATGAAAAGGCACTCAACATCTTTTTTTTTTTTAAAGACTTATTTATGCAAGAGCTGGGGTACAGGCTAGAGGTGCGGGAGGGTGAGAGGATTCACCAGAGATAGAGCGGGGAGCAGAACTGGCAGATGGACCGAAAGCACTACTGAGGGGAGCAGCAGGAAAGACGGGAGAGTTCTGCTGCGCCATGTGGGTATCTCCCTGGCCGGCCAGGAATTGAATCCACACTGCAGAGGCTGCGGACAGCTTCACAGTGCTGTGCTCATCCCGCTGCACCAACACTCAACATCTTTAGTCCTTAGGGAAATGCAAATCAAAAACACAATGAGGGCCGCCCTCATGGCACAAGGGTTAACACAGCACTGTGAAGCTATTTGCAGCCTCAGCAGTAGGAGTTCAATTCCCCCGTCTGGCCAGTGAGCTACCCTCATGGCACAAGAGACCTCTCTTGTCTCCCATTGCTCCCCTCAGCAGTGTACTTCAGTCAGTCTGCCTGTTTCCCACTCTGTCTCTGGTGAATCCTCTCACCCCCCCGCACCTCTGGCCTGTACCCGTTATTGTATGCATAAATAAATCTTTAAAAAAAAAACACAATAAGATACCACTTCAGTCCACTAGCATGGCTAAAATTTAAAAGACAAATAAGTGTTGATGAGAATGTGAAGAAACTGCAATCCCCATACATTGCTAGCAGAAATGGAAAATACAGCTTCTTTTTAAAACAGATTGATAGTTTGTTAAAATGTTAAACAATTAGTGTTACCATGTGATTCCACAATTCTACACCTAAGTACATATCCAAGAGAAATGAAAACATGGCTATACAAATTCTTCTAAACATGATACAGCAGCATTATTCATGACGCCAAACTAGTAACAACCCTAACATCCATCAACTGACAAAAGGATAAACAAAATGAAGAATTAGCCAATACTAGATTATTATACAGACATAAAAAGGAATAAAGTACTGATGCATGATTTATAATATGGATGATCCTTGAAAACATTATGAAAAGTAAAAGCCAGTCACAAATGATCACATATTGTATGATTTGAAATATATTGATGTAAAATGACTAAAACAGGAATATCCATAGGAAAAGTAGACTAGGCACTGTGTAGGGACTGCACTGCAAGGATGTGAAGTCACAGGGTAGAGGAAGTGGGGAACGATTGTTAATGAGCATGGGGTTTCTCAATGGGCTTATATACATGTTCTAAAATTGATGATGGTGGCACAAATGTGAATATAATACAACCATGTACAGTATACTTTAAACAGTGAATTAAGTGGATTATATCTCAATAAAGTTGTTTGTTTCAAGTTTATTATATAAAGATATTTTAGGAAAATAAACTGAATATGCAGAGGCATTTTCAGCAAATACACAGTGAATTTGATAAGTTTCTTGTCAACAATCAAAAAAGAATAAAAATTAAACAGTAAAATCAGAATTATTTACCTGACAAAAAATTTTTAAATGATTTTTTTGTAGTGTCTCAGTTTCTGATTTTGGCTAGCTAATAAACATTTTGAAGTCATACACAAAAAAAAAATTTTCAGATGAAATGGTAAATTATTTCAATTATAGAAATTTTATAGGAAAATTATGAGGAAACTGAAACAAATTTTATAAAATGTGAAAAATATTCAATTAAGCAAACAACCTGTAGGAAAAAAGAACCTTTCTTATATCAATTGACTCAAATTTGCAACTACTTTTTTTTTTTCTTTTTTTTTCAAGATTTACTTATTTATTTATTTATACAAGCACTGGGTACAGTCAGAAGCACAGGAGGGTGAAAGAATTCACCAGAGCCAGAGCGGGGAGCAGAGCAGGCAGAAGGACCGAAGTACACTGCTGAGGGGAGCAGCAGGCGGCAGGAGAGATCTGCGCGCCATATGGGACCCTTCTCTGGTGGCCGGGGAGCAGCCGGAGATCAAACCGGCGCTGCAGAGGCTGTGGGCAGCTTCGCAACCCAGCGCTCAACCGCTGCTCCACCGGGGAGGCCCTACTTTTCTTGATCTGTAGATGAATTGTGCATTCAACAAATACCTTAGAAAAGAGAGGGATTGGGGTCAAAATAAAGGGGTTGCAATTGCTTGGGGAATATAAAAATAAAAAAATTAAAATTAAAAAAAAAAAAAAAAGAAATGTTTTGTCTCATCGGTGTAAAAAAATAACAACAGGGGCCTCCCTGGTGGCGCAGCGGTTAAGCGCTGGGTTGCGAAGCTGCCCGCAGCCTCTGCAGAGCCGGTTCAATCCCCGGCTGCTCCCCGGCCACCGGAGGAGGGTCCCACATGGTGCGCAGACCTCTCCTGCCATGCCCACTGCTCCCCTCAGCAGTGTATTTCGTCAGTCTGCCTATTCTGCTCCCCACTCTGACTCTGGTGAATTCTCTCACCCTCCCGCACTTTTGACTGTACCCAGTGCTTGTATAAATCAATAAATAAATCTCTAAAAAAAAAAAAAATCAAGGGCCTCCCTGGTGGCGCAAGGGATTAAGATGCACCCTATAAAGCTATCTACAGCCACTGCAGCACGAATTTGATCCCCAGCCAGGGACTACCCACATGGCATGGCAGACTTCTGACTTGCCCGCTGCTCCCCTCTGCAGTGTATTTCAGACGATCCACCTGTTCTGTTCTCCACTTTGTCTCTGGTGAATCCTCTCACCCCCCACATCTCTGGCCTGTACCCCGGCTCTTGCATGCATAGATAAATCTTTAAAAAAAAAAAATCAAACCATGGTATTATATGTTTTTGAATTTTACATCTCTTTCGAAGAATTTCAGCTAGATCATTATTTTTTATCACAACTGAAGGTGTTTCACATTTATTAAAAGTTCAGATTTACTGGATTTTTTAAAGCACTGTTTCCTTTCTTATTGTTTTGTTATATTGTATTATACATACTGAAAATATCTGTGTTGTTTTCTGAAGCAGACTATGAAAAATGTCATGGATAAAATTATTAAAATTATTTAGTATGTGTGTGCAAATGCTATGTCTGTGTGGAACTGTTGAAAGAAACAGAAGATAATGAATTTAATGATCTTGTATACTTTGCCAATGCTTTCTGGTTGTTGAGTCATGCAAGAGTTACAAAACTGCTACTATTGTAAGAAAACACTTATATTAAAATACCTTAAATTATTTGGTCTTACATATCTTTCAGTTATTTCAGGTTAGTCAAAGACCACTGTTGTAAGCTTTACCCTTTATTTCCTTAATCAGAGTTGACAAGTGTGTTTTACCATATATGCTTAAATTTTTCACTAAGACAGTTTACCTTTAGCTCATATAAATCTACATAGTAATTATGTTGTACTTTGGTAGGCAGCTAATCTACTCCTAAGTACTTTATGGATATACTCAGTAAGTAATGAGACAACATCAGTAGAACAAGTTGTAATACTTCCACAAAATAAAAGTAAACACTATTTTTGCTGTGATCAACACTTTGGTTATAATTAAATATTTTAATATAAATGCAAAATACATTTTAACATTAGTTAAGATACAGTCTTTAATATTCTTCACAAAAAAGAATTTCATAGTTATATATTAGATTTCCAAAGCTCATTTAGTGTCAAACAGGTATAAAAACTTTTAGTGTGATTCATGTATAACTGGGTAATAACTTTAAACATTTAATTTTTAATTTAAAATAGGATTAATTGTACCTTTGCTTCTGAAATTTTCTGATTTTAGATTCATAGTAATCAATTAGGCAAAGCAACCTAGAAAACAAGATAAAATGAATTATTTTCAAAAGGTGGTACTGGAATATTACACAATTTCAAATTACAGTGATAAAGATACAGATTGAGCAAGTTATTAAAAATGTATATGATTGTCAGAATTATACTAATCCATACATTTTGTTAATTTCAACAGATTGAAAAATAATCAAACACTATCTCAATATATTAAATGCATGTTTCCTTTCCTCAATACTTCTACCTCTAGCAATCATTCCCACAGAAATATTTGCCCAGAGTTCTTACGATGAACAAAACTGCTCAATTCACCTTTGAGAAAGTGAAAACACAGAGTGATCTAAATATTCAACATGGGAAAAGTTAAATAATGAATACCCATATTATAGAAAACAATAAAATAGAAAGAAATAATGTATATTTGTATGTCCTAATCATTGATAAAGGAAAATGTTGATTACCAGCATTATTTTGGTTAAAGAAGTATACGTGAATTTACATATATATTGAAAAAGAACTCTATAGGTTCTTTTTTTTTTTTTAAAGATTTTTTTATTTATACAATAACTGGGGTATAGTCCAGAAGTGCAGGAGGGTGAGAGGATTCACCAGGGACAGAGCAGAGAGCAGGAAAGGCAAACGGACTGAAAACACTGCTGAGGGGAGCAGCGGGCACGACAGGAAAGGTCTGCCGAGCCATGTGGGAATATCCCTGGCTGGGCGGGAAACAAACCCGCACTGCAGAGGCTTCGGATAGCTCCATAGCACTGCGCTCAACCCGCTGCGCCACCGGGGAGGCCCATCTACAGGTTCTTAACTGGGGGGTATCATAACCTGTGGGACAATGTTGACTGTCACACTGTCAAGTTGGAGAAGGGGTAGGACATTAAAAGTTCTTCAGTGAACATTACAACCTTATACAATGAACTATCTCAAAATGTCAGAAGCACTACTGTTGTGAAATGCTAGAAAGAACACACATCATAGCAAAATTGCAAAGCGATCTGCACTATTTCTCTGCTATCCTGGGAAACTTACCCATCCTTCTTTTTCACAGCAAACTCAGACAATAGTACTTTTAATGTAATTTCCTGGGCTATTCTTTCTCTTCAACCTTTTCCCATTCTAATACATACCAGCCTTCATATTAGTCCTGCAAATATGCTTTTGGTCTTATCTCCTTCACAAGTCCTCTCACTATCTGCTTTCCCTTTACGCTGCCATTTCATTTCTTTCCTTTCATAGCACACTTCATTCACATGCATGATTGTCACCTACTATTACCTTCAATAAATTTAAGGAAGCACTTATCTGTAAAACTGGAAATTCTGAATAAGACAGTGAAGAGGCAAATCAAACTGATAAGACAGTATGTAACCTTCTGACCACCCTCTCCTTGAAATACATTGTTTCTTGGTTATGCTGACATCCAAACATAACTCCTTCTGCCTCTTCTTTATCTGAAATTTGAAACTTCTCTATAGTTCAACCTTCCTGATTTTCCCCAAACCTAGCTTGAGATCTGGTTATTTCAGACTCCTCTCTTTCTTTCAACATCTACAGTTAATCAGTCTGGAAAATTCCTGCCCACCTCTTCAGTTATCTCTTCCTTCTGTTGTCCTAAATGGCAGTCACCTAGACTGTTAACTTACTAACATGTCTCTGTGGGATTAATTTCTTCACTCAGAAATTGAGAATTTTTATCTTGCTATATATAAAGTAGAACTGAAACTCTTCAGCCTGGAGATTAAGCCCCTCAAATTTCCAGCATATCTTTCCTTCTATATTGTGTCCTATTTACCATCAACTATACATCATAGGCTTCAGACCTCTTGGGCAACTTGCCATTCCCAAATACATTGTTTTCCTGCCACCATACTTCTTTAAAATGTCCTTTCCCTCACCTCTTCCTATTAAAATTCTATAGTACCTAGTAGTTTGGTTTAAAATTTGGCTCTTTCATGATGTCTTTCTGGTCATGCCCATCTTCTTCAAAGGAAACTAATCTCTCCTGCCAAACCAACTTAGTCTCCTATTTGCATCATCATCAGCACATACCATAATCTACCTTATAGTTTACTTATCTCAGTATGTATCTACCCAACTAGACTATCAGACCTGTAAATGCAAAAATCATGGTTTTGCTAATCTGTTTGCCCTAGATTGCTTTGCCTAGTCCCTCTAACTTTGGATAACAGCTGTTAATGGCTATAATGCAACTCATGCATTTCTACGAAGGTAAATTCCCAATTTTTAAATTCTGTGCCTCAAACTGAAAATTTTCTTCATAAAAAATCAAATAGGGGCCTCCCCTGGTGGCACAGTGGTTGAGAACTGGGCTGCAAAGCTGCCCGCAGCCTCTGTAGCACCGGTTTGATCCCCGGCCACCAGCAAGGGTCCCACATGGTGCGCAGACCTCTCCTGCCGCCTGCTGCTTCCCTCAGCAGTATACTTCGATCCTTCTGCCTGTTCTGCTCCCCACTCTGGCTCTGGTGAATTCTCTCACCCTCCCATGCTTCTGACTGTACCTAGTGCTCGTAAATAAATAAATCTTTAAAAAAAAAAATCAAATAGGGTGAAGAATCTCTAGGTGATCACACAAATTCATACCTAGTTTGAATTCATTTAGCAAATGGTTAAGATGTCTCAATACTCTTTCTCTAGCCCTCTCAAATTCATTCTAATTGTTTTTATCCCCCCTCCACCTCTTCACTATCTTCTTTCTCCTACAGAATTTATCTTTCTCTTTCCTTTTTTTTCTTTCTTATCCCTATTATTCTTTCTTTGCTACTTCTTATTCATACCTATTCTCACTATATTCTGTTATTGTAATTATTCATTATAGTTTATTTTTATTTTGTCCTTGCACCTACTTCAAAAAGATGAAAACTGTATGTGTAGATATGTAGTAAGACTCGATGTTATGGAAAGGTTCTTGAAAACAACTTTAAGCAAAATGATATATAATGAAGGCAGGTCTTTGAATAATATCATTTTGCTCAACATGGGCAGGGATTATCTCTTTCTCATTAACATAACAAAGCAACACGGAACAAAATCACATTATTGGAGCATCTGCTATATATATGTATATATGTGTATATATACGTATGTATTCTCTCAATTATCAAAAAAGTCTTTGGTTTAGCTGGTATAATGTATATAAGAGATCATTTATTTTTACATTAAAATAGAAATACCTAATTAGTAAAGATACTAAATCCTACTATGCAAGTACTGAGGTTAGTTAAAATGTATTAAGTCTGTATCTGTAAAGTGAAAAAAATAAATGCTACTTCTTGCAAAAAGAGGAAGTATGAATATAATATCCATATTGCTTGTATTTGCTAAAGATAACCTGAAACATGGATAGTAGTAGGTAAGGAATAAGGTTAAGGAGACAGTAATGAAAACACAATTTAAGTAATTATTGTTTTGCCTTTGGAATTGCAGAAATGCATATATATTCAAAAGTAAATAATTAAAAAGTACTCCCTGAAATTGAAAACAAATTGAAACAAGTAAACTTAACCGCATATTATTGATCATTTGGTGATACACAAACACACATAGAAAACTATCCATAATGGAATATATTATTCACTCTGGAATATATATTGTTAAAGATCCTTGTAAAGAAATTTAAATTTCACTCAGGAGGCCTATTGTTAGCAGTAATTCTGGTATTTTTATCTTGAAACTATTTTTACATATTACAGGATATAGCAAATAAAAATTATGTCCTTAGTAATAAAATTTTTCAGTGTGAGTTAAAAATTAAAATCAGATCAGAGATCCTATAATGTCATCTTCAGCTAGAAAAAAAAAAATTGACCCCCCCCCCACCACCGGCCCACCCCAGAATGTAGTTCCAAATACTCTCCACTGGAAAAGTCTGATGTCAATGACAGCGTATAATAAATAAGCAACTCCAATACCCAAACTGTGGTCTCTGAGTCAGCATTTCTGACTTAAAAGAACCCTAACTCCTTTTGAGAAATGTGTAATTAATTTTAAATTTAATTTTAAATGTTTAATGTTCGGGCCTCCCTGGTGGCGCATGGGGTTAAGATGCAAACTATGAAGCTATCTGCAACCACTGCACCACGAGTTCGATCCCCGGCCAGCCGGGGAGCAACCCACATGGCGCAGACCTCTCCTGACTCGCCTGCTGCTCCCCTCAGCAGTGTATTTCAGTCAATCCGCCAGTTCTGTTCCACACTCTGTCTCCTCTCACCCCCCACACGTCCGGCCTATACCCCAGTTCTTGTATGCATAAATAAATCTTTGAAAAAATAAAATGTTTAATGTTCATTTTAACATATATGATTCCATTCTTCAACAAAGCTCTAGGACAAAAAAAGTACAAGATGTACACTCTTGCCTAAAACCAAGAAATTTAACAAGGCTTAATAGAGTTCAGTCAAAAAAATATAGTACTACCATGAAAAAGTTCCCAATAATCAGAGACAGGATAGCTTTATTTGCAAACCCATGAGTGATTTAAAAAAAAAAAAAAAAAGAGAGAGACCAAGCCACAAATAAACAATCTTATTGCTTGTCATCAGAAATCACCACGGTATCAAGTCCTCTCTTTAAAGAGTGGAGATTAAGATGAAAGAACTGAGCACTGATTGTGCTGATACTACCTTCTCTGTAACAAACCACATAGGGCATTTATTAATTATTATTAATTAATAGTCCCTAGTCAATAGGAAAGATTGGTTTTTTAATGGGTGGAATCCAGGGCATTTATTTATTATTATTATTATTATTATTATTATTATTATTATTAATAGTCCCTAGTCAATAGGAAAGGTTGGTTTTTTAATGGGAGGAATCCAGAAAATAAAAAATAAAAAAGGAAAATAGCAAAATTGAAAAAAATCACCATTTTGCAAGATAATAGAAGGGTCAGACTGTTTCCATTTAATCTTCTGAACAATCTTAGCACCCCAAGAGTGGCTCAAGTAGACATTATGTGCCTCCTGATGTTCAAATAGCACAATTACCATGCCTGAATTTTGCCAAAAATACTTGAATCTAAATTTACCACAAACTTCTGGCTTAGAAGAAATACAGTAAACAGAAGAGTAAACTAAATGACATAAGAAAGCAAATAGACATATATACCATGTACTTCTCCCGGACAACTGACCAGTTTCTTTGACAAGTTAATGACAAAAAAAAAAAAAAAAAAAGCAGAGAAGAGGGACGAGAAAATTCCTCCAATTTATAAGAGCTAGCTATTCCCAAGACAAAAGAAATTCAGTTTTTTAAAAAATAATGAATCCAGCATCTAGCTACATATTAATTTATGTAGTAAACATTACTGTCTATCCAAGATGGTATTAGGAACTCTTTGGCAGAGATAGGAAAACACTCTGTTTTGAGTGGCAATGCGTTCTTCGTCCGCCTTTGTTAATCTATAGATATCCTTTTGCAAAGAAGTAATAGTTTCTTGTTGTTCCATTCGGTTTTTCTTATAACGCTGACATTTATCCTGCAAGAAATTTTTTAAGAAACATAATTATGATGTGTATATCTATGAGATGCTGTCCTAACAATGTCGTACATAAAGACATCTTCACAGTTTCTATTAAGCTGCTTCACTCAAGAACTTCAGTATTGAGGTTGTTTTTAATTGGGTGTAAGTTCCAGGAGCATTAATATGTCATAATTGCAAAATTAAGCAAAATAGTTGTAAAGTGTGGGAATACAACGCTTACAGTTGCATGGCTATTAAGAGTTTTATCACTGCATTACAAGATCATCATTAATTCATAACAAATTTAAAAATCTCTATAAAACTGATATAATTTTATGTGTAGGTTTAAAAGAAAACAGTAATCAGGAAAGGACTAGGAATTAAGATTCTTATGTCATCAATAATTCAGGATTTCAGATGGTAAAATCAACTTAGACACAATGCAGGAGACTGCAAACCTAACCAAATATATACCTAACCAGGAAGTCATTACAAAATAATATATGCCCCAAGATTTTTACAAGGAACATAAATCTTGGACACTCTTCTACCTTCAGTGAAATACCACTGGCCTGGCTACTCAATTTCCTACTTCTGTCCTTCACTGCCCTTTGAAAACTCATGGTCCACAGTGCCACCACAGTTATTAATATATTTTTCATAAAGCTCAGAAAGAAACCCTATCCCCAATTGTTACTAGAACATACTACTTTCAGAAGAAGATGCCATGTTTAAACACATACTCACCTGCCTATAATGCTGAGTGTGCTGATAGAGAACCTCAGGGAAAAGAGGACTAGCTTCTGGTACCATACCATTCCCCAATAACCATCAGTTACACCCAGGACTGATAGTCTATCTCCACCCACCCTGGAAGCCAGTTAGGGCCTTTGTAGTCAAATGACATGGGTGCTAGTTTCACCTCTTCTATAATTTAGCCATGAAACTAAAATACAAGACAGGCTTCGTAAAGTTGCATGATATAAGGACAATATACAAGAATCAACCACATAACAACTCGGTCACTCTATAAGGCAAGCATTACCTTGATACCAAAACTAGCCAATACAAGAGAACTACAAACCAACATCCCTTATAAACATTGATGCAAAAGTCCTCAACAAAATACTAACAAACCAAATTCAGTGACATATTGAAAGAATTACATATCATGACAAAGTGGGAATTATTCCTGGAATGCAAGACTAGCTCAACATGAAAATTAAAGGGTAATATACCATATTAATGAAACGAAGGGGGAAAATTAAATCAATTGGTGCAGAAAAAGCATTCAACAAAATCCAACACACATTTATAAAAACATCCAACAAACTAAGAATAGAAAAAAACCACTTCATCATAATAAAAGCCAAATTTGAAAAACTCACAGCAAACATAGTCAATGATATGAAAGACTAAAAGCTTCTCTTCTAAGATCAGGCTTAAGGCAAGGTTGCCCGAGTTTGCCACTTCCCTTCAACACAGTACTGCAAGTTCTAAACAGGCAAGAAAAATAATAAGTATCCAAATTTGGAAAAGAAAAAGTAAAATTATCATCACAGCTAATTTGATAATATATGTAAAAAAATAAAAACCCTAAAAATTCCATAACAAAAATCTGTTGGAATAAATTAATTCAGCAAAATAGCAGGACACAAAGTCAACACAAAACCCAAACACATTTCTACACATTAACAGTGAACAATCCAAGAGGAAATTAATAACAATTAACACTTCTATTTACAATGGCATCAAAAAGAAATAGCTGGGGATAAACATAACCAAGAAGGCTAAAGATTTATACATTCAAAATTACAAAAGGTTACTGGAAAAAATTTGAGGACGACACAAGGAAATAATTCCTGTGTTCATAAACATCTTGTGTTCATAAATTAGAAAACTTAATGTTGTCAAGATGTCAATACTACCCAAACCAATTTACAGATTCAATGCAATCCCTATTCAAAATCCAATAACATTTTTGCAGAAATAGGAAAATTCACTCTCACGTTCATTTGGAATCTCAAGTAACCCTGAATAGTCAAAACAATCTTGAAAAGAAAAAAGTTAATACTCTCACACTGATTTCAACATTTATTACAAAGCTATAGTTATCAAAATAATGCGGTACTGGAATAAAGAGAGATATAGAATCAAAAGAATGGCATTCAGACTACAAAAATAATCCTGCACATATATGGTAAAATAACAAGGGTGCCAAAGCTATTAAGTGGGGACAGAACAGACTATTTTTAACAAAAAAATGTTTGGAAAACTGGCTACCTAAGAGAACATAAATGAAGTTGGACTCATAATACATACAAAAAGTAACAAAATAGAACAAAGATCTAAATATAGTGTCCAAACTATAAGACTCTTTAAAAAAGATATGGGGCAAAAGCTTCATGACATTGCATTTGGCAATCATTTCTTGAATATGACATCAAAAGCAACAAGAAAAAATAGACAAGTTGGACTTGACAAAAATATAAAAACTTCTGTGCATCAAAGAACATTGTCAGAGGAAAACCCACGAATGAGAGAAATTTTTCATTAGTAATATATCTGATAGAAAGTCAGTAACCAGGATAAATAATGAACCTCTAAAACTAAACAACAAAAAATCAGATTATAAAATAGTGAAAGGAATTGAAGAGGCATTTCTCTATAGAGATACAAGACAATCAATAAACAAATGAAAAATGTCTATCACTAATCATTAGGGAATTGCAAATTACAATCATAATGAGATACCATTCCACATGCATTAGAATGGCTAATGTAGAAAAAACAAAAAACAAATGTAAGTGAAGATGTGGAGAAACTGGAAGCTTTGTGCATTGCTGGCAGGAATGTAAAATGGTACAGACACTCTGGAGAATAGTATGGCAGTTCCTTAAAAAACTAAACATAAAATTACCATATGACCCAGCAATTCTACTTCTGGAAATATACCCAAAAAACTGAAAGCAGATACTGGAACAGATTTTGTATATCAATGTTCATAGCAGGGCCTCCCTGTTGGTGCAAGGGGTTAAGACGCAACCTAGGAGGCAGTCCGCAGCCACTGCAGCAGCACAAGCTCGATCCCCGGCCAGGGAGATACCCACATGGCGCAGCAGACCTCTCCTGGCTCGCCTGCTGCTCCCCTCAGCAGTGTATTTCAGTAGATCCGGCTGTTCTGTTCCCCACTCTGTCTCTGGTAAATCCTCTCACCTCTCCCCACGCCTCTGGCCTGTACCCCAGTTCTTGTATGCATAAATAAATCAATCTTTAAAAAAATAAAAAAAAAAAGAATTAGGGCAGTGGGGCTATCAGGGTGACCTGCCGGCACCGGGAGTGCTCAGCCCCTGCGCCACTGTTGGAAGCTAGGGACTGCACCATCCCCCTCTGGAACTGAGTAAATACAGAGGGAGGGGATCATCAGAGACAGCGCCAATCAACATATTCACAGCATTACTACCTTTGTGGAGTTTTGGCATTAATACTGCTGGAGTCAGTCTACAAATCCCTGACATTCCAGAAGGAGCACCCAGAAGAGATGCCTGCAGTACCAGCAGCACAGTGTCCCAACGCATAGAATAAGTTAGAAAACAAACAGGGAGAAGGAAAAATACAAATAACCAAGCAAGCCTTCAGGGGAAGGAAACACTACAAAAAGAAAAATCAGCCACCAGAACTCAACAACAATGACATGGAGTAAATTTTCTACCCGCCAGATAGAGAATTTAAAATCATCATCATTAAAAAAATGAATAATGGGGCCTCTCCTGGTGGCGCAGGTGGTTGAGCGCCGTGCTGTGAAGCTGTCTGCAGCCTCTGCAGCGCTGGTTAGATCCCGGCTGGCTGGCGAGAATCCCACATGGCCAGGCAGACTTCTTCTGCCTCACCCGCTGCTCCCCTCAGCAGTGTATTTCGTCAGTCTGCCTGTTCTGTTCCCCGCTCTGCCTCTGGTGAATCCTCTCACCCTCCTGCGCATCTGGCCTGTTCCCTGGTTCTTGTATAAATTTAAAAAATCTTTTAAAAAAAAGAATAATGACATAAAGTGTATATAAATAATTTTTAAAAAAAAAAGAATTAGGGCAGTAGGTATATAATTCCTGCCTTTTAAAAATTTAAAAAACAGGAGAGAAATAATGTTATTTCAATTTAAGTAGTAAATATATTTAAAAATAAAAAATAAATATGGAATTGAAGTACTTCAATTAAATTCCAATAATTTAAGATGGGGACTGGTGAAACTAATTGCTGCACTGTCATGGAATAAGTTAAAAATTACAAGGTAGGGGGGCTCCCTGGTGGCATAAGAGGTTAAGCACCGCACTATGAAGCAATCCGCAGCCTCTGCAGTATGAGTTCGATCCCCAGCTGTCCAGGGAGCAACCCACATGGCGAAGCAGACCTCTCCTGCCTCGCCCGCTGTTCCCCTCAGCAGTGTGTTTCAGTCAGTCTGTCTGTTCCCCACTCTGTCTCTGGTGAATCCACTCACCCCCCGCATCTCTGGCCTGTACCCCAGCTCTTGTATGCATAAATAAATAAATCTGTAAAAAAAAATCACAAGGTAACATTTGATTTTGAGAAGAATGTATATTTTATTCTTCACTGAAAGATTACTAAAAATCAATTCCTGAACCATGTATTCCCTAGCACCATCAATCTTGCAAAGAGGGAGAATTATATCCTGATACAGATCACAGTGACTTAAAACTAAAAAGAATTTATCTGCTTAGAACTTAAGAGTGCCCAAAAGTTTATAAAACTATATTCAAAAAAGTCAACACACTGGTCTAAGTATAAAGGGAAACTGCACTGCAGAAATAGAAACTACAAATGCAATATTGTCTTTTGGTTTCTGCATTTCACCAACAATCTTGCAAAATATTGTCAAAGATCTGTTGATTTCCCTGACCTCTTTGCCACATACAAAGAAATCAATGTTTCCTTTCTCCCAACTGCAAAAGATGCTGCACTAAACCATTCTAAAATTGGGAATGGGGCCTCCCCTGGTGGCGCAGTGGTTGAGTGCTGGATTGCGAAACTGCCCGCAGCCTCTGCAGCACCAGTTTGATCCCTGGCCACCGGCGACATGGCGTGCAGACCTCTCCTGCCACACTCGCTCCTCCCCTCAGCAGTTTATCTTGTCAGTCTGCCTGTTCTGTTCCCCACTCTGGCTCTGGTGAATTCTCTCACCCTTTCACGCTTCTGACTGTACCCAGTGCTTGTATAAATAAATAAATAAATCTTTAAAAAAATAAAAAATAAAATGAAATTGGGAATGGCTGTATACCAGAAAAAGAATGTGCCTTAACTGTGATATAATTATTCTCTAGGGGCATTTCCATTTGTCCCAAGAAAGCACATATCGAGCAGTGTGGAACCTGATGTATGACTAGTCTGCAATAGAATGGGGCAACCAAGCAACATTGAGAGGCACCCAATACCTTCAGTTTGTCAATTTCTTTGACCTTTATAAAAAGTACCCTTTCAGGACTGAAAAAAAAAAAACCAACCACCTAATTTTATTTGATCAAATTAGCATGATATGCTTTCCCAACACCAGGTATCTTCAATTCCATCTGTCCCACTCCATTGCAGACTGGAACATGAGACCTCCTCTGACCAATTTACAAGCTAAGTAGCAAATATCTGGGGCCTAAAACAAAAAGTTTGTAACACCATAAATCATTTCTGACAAATGGAATTGCTTGATGGAAAAATCTGTTGCTGCATTCAAGTCACCTCTTACCAATGAACCCTCAAGCATCTGTTCTTGGAAGTCCCTAAAACCCCGGTAAATTTGTAAGTCTGATGTTCTAACTTACTTTGCAATTATATATGCATCAACCTCTTTGAAAAGAGGAAAATCTTTCTCAAAAAAAGAACACTGGTCTTCCCCACCCTCAACAACTTGCCAGCCAAGGAGCCAGGTCCGTCAGAGCTCCTGATGGCTGCATCCTCACATCAGTAAGTTGATCAGTTAAAGCGGTTCAGGTTACCACATGTTCTATATCTGAGAGCAAGCCAAAACCAAGCACACATAGAAAATTTTCTAAACTTCCTTTTTTTTAGAGGAATTTTATAATGTACCATTCATGATGAAAACAACCTTATACAGCAAACCTAAAAATATAACTTTCTAATGGCAGAGTATTGTGTTAACTAATGAGTAACAAACTGCTCTGACCATCAAAGAATGATAGGATCTTCTGGAGTTAGGATCACAGCAGCAGATCCAGCACTGCCCACCCCAAGCTAGCAACCCAAATGAGGGCAGAACACCAGCTACCTCTATCCTCATACCAGAAAACTCACTAGTTATACCTGATTCTCTTGGACCCCTGGAATTTATATTAGCTCATCCATCCTACCAAAGCTGCCAACATAAACTGAAGGAACATACATACAGACCCTGCATTATTAGACGTCATTTTTAGGCAGCCTGTATCACTGGTACAGGTACATATAGCATTGTACCAACATAAACTGTTTTAAAGTAAAAATTTAATGTTTATACTGATGTACTCTTTGTAAAGATCTGTAATATCTCAAATAACACTGTTTATCACTAAAAAAACCTTATTTCTTTTAATCACAATAAACACCAATAAAGTTTTTTAAAATAGGAAATTAAGTATTCACTGTTTTAATATTGCTATTTACCTAAAAAGAAAAGTAACAAAATAACTCATAATCACAAAGCATATTCCATATAAATGTCAAGTAAATGTAATTCAAATATTTATTAAGCATCCACTACTACTAATAAACCAACACTCTTTTAATCTTAAATAAAATAGACGGAAATTTGCCCTAGAGGTCATGGTAAGATTCTTGGATTTTCCTCTAAAAGAAAAGGGGAAGTCTTTGGAAGGTACTAGGCTGCTGTTGACAGAACACTGAAAAAGGAAAAGTTGAAAGCTCAGAAACCAAGCAGGAGAGAAATGAAGGGGACATGGATCACAGCAGAGACCAAGAGACAAAAGTTTGGGGAGGAAATTCAGGACTCAGCTTTAGACAAGTTCTAGATGCCTACTAGACATGCACAGAGATATCAAATGGGCTGCAGGACATGAGTCTAGAAGTAAGGGAAGAGGTCTGGGATACAGATTTAAGTTAGATGCTATGAATTAGACTGATAATCACCACGAGAGTTAAAAAGGTTTAAGGAGTATTGGGGAATTCCAACACAAACAAGTAGATGAGAAACATCAACAAAGGACGTAAAGAATGACCATAAAAGTTGAACCAGAAGAAAGGATATTCTGAAAAAGTAAGCAAAGAAAAAATTTCAAGGAAGGAAACCTTCCTTGACAGATAAAGTAGGTAAGGGCCACTGAATCAAGCAACCGTGTCTTGATGAGTTGTTTTAGCACTATCAAGTAAGTACTTTGTAACTCAGTACCTGTAAAGCTTTCTGCTCCTTTTGAAGGTCTTGTATTTTATTCTGTTGTTGACAAACCCTATTTAGGGATTCATCCTCTAATTCACCAATTTTGGCTTTTACACTCTCCATAATTTGTTCCAAGTCATTAGCTCGTTGTTCCTGATTTGCTGCTCGGCATTGTTCTAGCTGAAGTTCATTTCTAATAAAAGACATACATATTCCCCCCATTAATAATAAAAATAAATCACATTAACAAACATTTTCATCAAAATTTCTTTGAATTTCTAAATGAATTTCTAAAATTTCTTTGTAGTCAGTCTTAAAATTTCCATCTTACAAGATAAAGGGCCCCATTATACCTAAACTATTACCAATTGATTTATCTAATGAAAATATTTTTAATTAAAAGGAATATAAAATTTCAAGATTCCTTCCAAAGGCAGTTAATAGTTAGGATGCATACCACTTATGCACAAATAATTCAAAAGAGATTTTTTTTACATTTTCTTACTTAAGTTGCTGATTAATTTCTATGAGCTCACGGATCATATTCTGTTGACGTGTTGTTTCTTCCATCAATGTTTTCAAATTCTGTCTCATCCTTTGTGATGACTGTTTGTCAAAAATGATGAGATCTACATTTTAAAAATGTAACAGATAGCAAAAACAAAGGTAAGGTAAAAAAAGTAAAGAAAAAGGAAGCTTTTTACTGTAAGGTGCAAGAATAGGATCAGATTACCTTTAAGATCTGTTCTTTTGACTAGAGATAAAGGTCTTAAGCCATGCATCATCAACATAACACTTATACTTTCCCATTCTGCTTCTTCCTGCTACAATTACAAAAGGAGAAAAATATAAAATGAAGATGTACCTATTAATATATAATTTCCTTTGTTTTCAGAAAACAGAACTTTTTCTCCAAAAGTTTTTATATGAATTTTTATGGCCACAGAATGATTAAAATTAAAACATGTTATTGCTTTTTATTTTATATATTTTTTACATCATTTTTCATTTTTGCACAATGTATGCTTTTTCATCTTGGTTATAGTCCCCATGTAATTCCCACCCCACTTATTTTGACCGTAATCCCTCCTGCTCCACCCCATCTCCCTCTGCCCCGGTAGTTTGTCTCTGACTTATAGTTGCTTGTTAATTTTGATTTTTACTTTATTATAATTAGTCTTTCTCCTGGTCCCTTATTTAGGTTTACTAAATTCTTGCTATGAGTGAGAGATACCATCCGGTATTTTTCTTTTTCTTTCTGGCTTATTTCACTGAGCTTGATCCCTTCCAGCTCCATCCATGTTGCTGCAAATTGCATGAGTTTATCTTTTTTGATTGCTGAGTAATATTCCACTGTGTATATGTACCACATCTTCTTGATAGATGTTACTGCTTTTAACAAAATTAGGAAACTAGAAGATTGTAACTAAGCACAAATAATTCCATTACCCAAATCCAGGATATTCATATATAGGCCTTAAGATAAAATAATAACAAAAAGGCCTTATAACTCCAGTGAGCCAAACAGATCTCAAATTTTTGATGTAACTGAAGCAGATCATGCCTCAGTCAAAATAAACAGCATAAAACTAGGCTATATTAATTAAAAGTGAAGAAATGTGTCGGGCTTCCCTGATGGCACAGGGATTAAGGTCTCAGCGCTATCAAGCTATTGGCAGGCAGCCACTGCCCCATGAGCTCAAAGCCCAATCCCTGGCAGGAAGCTAACCCACATGGCGCAGCAGGCCTCTCCCGTCTCCCCCAATGCTCCCCTCAGCAGTATATTTCAGTAAATGCACCTGTTCTGCTCCCCACTCTGTCTCTGGTGTATTCTCTCAGCCCCTGGACCTCTGGCCTAGACCCCAGTTCTTGTATGCATAAATAAATCTCTAAAAAAAAGAAAAAAGAAAGAGAAAGAAAGACGTGTCCCTAACAATGACTAGTGTCACAAAATAATCAAAACATACTTAACTGGTCAGAGCCCATAATTTGCATAATGGGCAAAAAAAGCCCAAGTATGAAAAAGGAGTCTGTTCATCTAGTAATTGATTCTAGTTGAATCACTCTCAGAAGTCTATATCCCTAATTCAAATACACATTTATATCATAATCTAAGAGACAAACTCTAATTCTCTGGATTTAAGTGAATAAAACAATGAAGGAAATAAAATCATAAAAAATGAGCAAGAATAGAGATGATTTTTAAAAATCACATATTTAAATCCATGATAATAATAGTTTTGTAATAATGTAAGCACAATGATCAATTTTGAAATGACTGTATGAGGTGCACTTTGGTTGCTTTTAAAATGTGTATTTGTAAAAAGGTAATTTGAGGAAATTTTCAATCATGGCTTAAATATAAAAAGTACAATTTATACCGTTTTTTAAAAGATTTATTTATGTATACAAGGACTGGGGTACAGGCCAGAGGTCTGGGGGTGAGAGGATTCACTAGAGACAGAGTGGGGAACAGAACAGGCAGACTGACTGAAATACACTGCTGAGGGGAGCGGCAGGTGAGTCAGAAGAGGTCTGCTGCGCTATGTGGGTAGCTCCCTGGACCGGGATCAAACTCATGCTGCAGTGGCTGCAGATAGCTTCATAGGTTGTGTCTAAACCCCCTGTGCCACCAGGGAAGCTCGTTATACATTTTTAATAGTGGTGTAGTATGTAAGCACTGTCAAAGATTAATAATGCAGACAAAAGACAAAGTCCAAATTAAGTTTTACTCTTTACATCCAAATGTCACTCAAACATTAAAGAATCTCTCAAGATAAAAAAGGAACCAATTACCCTGATGAATCTTTAATAACACTACAATTACAACATCAAATAAATCTTTCCTTTTGACTGCTGGCTTTCTTCCTTTTCTTATCCTTTCCTTAATTCTCCCTCCCTCCCACAAACTATTCCCTTATTTATGCTTTAGGCCTTCTGGTCACAAAGACTAACCACATGGTAGATTAACTACACAGCAGACACAAAACTGAAATTATTGCTGTTATTTATTTTAGGAGCCAAAAGCTCGACTGAAAAACAAAATGTTCCCTAAATAATGTGCTACATTTCAGATAATCAAATTATACATATTATTCCTTGAGACATCTTTTAAAAGATAGATTAACATAATTTGTTTTCAAATTATGAAAACACTTGAGAATGGTATTTTCAAAAACAAGTGCTGCAGAATATTAAATGTTGATCACACTAGTGTTAAGTAAGTAAGAAATGTAGTATATAAACATCTCCTTTTAGAGACTGGTAGCATTGTGAAGTCTTTTTTTTTTTTTGACATTTTTTTAAAATAAATTTTATTTTTGTAGTCCCCATACAATTGCAACCCCCTTATTTTGACCCCAATCCCTGACCTCCCCGCTCCCCACCCCCCATAGAGTGTCTCTGGTTCATAGTTTTTGGTTGATTTTGATTTTCACTTTCTTATAGTTATTCATTTTCCTGGCTCCTTATTTAAGTTTTCTAGATTCCTGCTATGAGTGAGACCATCCGGTATTTTTCTTTTTCTTTCTGGCTTATTTCGCTGAGCATGATCCCTTCCAGCGCCATCCATGTTGCTGCAAATTGCATGTGTTTATCTTTTTTGAATGCTGAGTAATATTCCATGGTGTATATGTACCACATCCTCTTGATCCAGTCACCTATTTTTGGGCATTTGGGTTGTTTCCAAAGCTTAGCTATTGTAAACAGTGCTGCTATAAACATAGGGGTGCAGGTGCTCTTTGGAATTGATGTTTCTGTGTCCTTTGGGTAAATACCTAGGAGTGGAATTGCTGGATCATATGGAAGCTCTATGTTTAGTAGGTCCAGAAATCTCCACACAGCTCTCCATAGTGGTTGGACCAGTTTGCACTCCCACCAATAGTGCAGGAGAGTTCCTTTTTCTCCACACCTCGCCAACATTTGTTGTTGCTAGTTTTTTCAATATGTGCCATTCTCACTGGTGTAAGATGGTATCTCATGGTAGTTTTGATTTGCATTTCCCTGATTACAAGTGATGTTGAACATTTTTTCATATGCCTGTTGGCCATTTGCATTTCCTCTTCAGAGAAGTTTCTTTTTAGCTCTTCTGCCCATTTTTTTGACTGGATTATTTTCTTTGTTGTTGTTGAGTCTCATCAGCTCTTTGCAGATTTTTGTGATCAGTCCTTTATCATTAGTATTGTGTGCAAAAATGTTCTCCCAGTTGGTGGGGTTTCTCTTTGTTTTTGTTATTGTCTCTTTTGCTGTGCAGAAGCTCTTTAATTTGATGTAGTCCCAGCTGTTTATCTTTGCCTTCACTATCACTGCTTTGGGTGATGTGTCTGTAAAGATGTCTTTGATGTGCGTATCACGTAGTGTTTTGCCTATATTTCCTTCTATGTATTTTATGGTTTCAGGTCTTATGTCTAGTTCTTTAATCCATTTTGAGTTGATTTTTTGTGTATGGTGTGAGGTAGTGGTCAAGCTTCATTCTTTTGCATGTAGCGACCCAGTTTTCCCAGTACCATTTATTGAACAAACTTTCTTTGTTCCAATGCATATTCTTTGCTCCTTTGTCAAAGATTACTTGACCATAAATCTATGGGTTTATTTCTGGATTTTCTATTCGATTCCATTGGTCTGTGTGTCTGTTCTTGTTCCAATACCATGCAGTTTTGATGATTATGGCTTTGTAATATAGTTTGAAGTCTGGGAGTGTGATGCCGCCATTCCCTTCTTTTTTTTTCAGGAGAGCTTTGGCTATTTGGGGTTTTTGGTGATTCCATATGAATTTCATCAATAATTGTTCTATTTTTTGAAGAATGACATTGAAATTTTGATTGGAATAGCATTGAATCTGTATATTGCTTTTGGTAGGATGGCCATTTTAATAATATTTATTCTTCCAATCCATGAGCAGGGGATGTCTTTCCATTTCTTTGTGTCTTCTTCTATTTCTTTTAACAGTGTTTTATAGTTTTTTTTTGTATAGGTCCTTTACCTCTTTTGTTAGATTTATTCCCAAGTATTTGATTTTTTTGTTTCGATAATAAAAGGGATGGTTTTTTTTTATTTCTTCTTCTTCAGATTTATTGTTTGTGTATAGGAAGGCTACTGACTTTTGCGTGTTGATTTTGTATCCTGCCACTTTACTGAACTGATTGATGAGTTGAATTAGTTTTTCTGTGGAGTTTTTGGGGTTCTCTATGTATATTATCATATCATCTGCAAATAGTGATAGTTTGACTTCTTTTCCTGTTTGGATTCCTTGTATGTTTTTCTCTTGTCTTATTGCTCTGCTAGGACTTCTAGTATTATATTGAAAAGCAATGTTGAAAATGGACATCTTTGTCTTGTTCCAGATCTTAATGGAAATGCTTTCAGCTTTTCACCATTGAGAATGATACTGGCTGTTGGCTTGTCATATATGGCCTTTATGATGTTGAGGTATGTTCCTTGTATCCCAAGAATTTCAAGGGCTTTTATCATGAGTGGGCGTTGCACTTTGTGGAAAGCTTTCTCAGCATCTATTGATATTATCATATGGTTTTTATATTTCTTTTTGTTGATGTGTTGGATAACATTGCTTGATTTTCGGATGTTGAACCATCCTTGTGTCCCTGGCATGAATCCTACTTGGTCGTGGTGAATTATCTTATGGATACATTGTTGGATTCTGGTAGCTAAAATTTTATTGAGGATTTTTGCATCAGTGTTCAGTAGGGAAACTGGCCTGTAGTTTTCCTTTTTTGTGTTGTCCTTGTTCGGTTTTGGTATTAGTGTAATGTTGGCTTCATAGAACGTGTTTGGTATTGTCCCTTCCTTCTCAATTTTTTGGAAGAGTTTGTGAAGGATAGGCACTAATTCGTCTCTGAATGTTTGGTAGAATTCATATGTAAATCCATCAGGTCCTGGGCTTTTGTTTTTGGGGAGGTTTTTGATTACCATTTCAATTTCGCTGCTTGTAATTGGTCTGTTTAGGTGTTCTGTTTCTTCTTTATCTAGCTTTGGGTAATTGTAGAGTTGTAGGAATTTGTCCATCTCCTCTAGATTGTTGAACTTGTTTCCATATAACTGTTCATAGTAGTTACTGATTATTCTTTTGATTTCTGCTGTGTCCATTGTGATTTCTCCTCTTTCATTTCTGATCCTGTTTATTTGTGCTTTCTCCCTTTTTTCCTTTGTGAGCCTGGCTAGGGGTTTGTCTATTTTATTGATTTTTTTGAAGAACCAGCTCTTGGTTTCATTGATCTTTTGGATTGTTTTTTTAGTTTCAATTTCATTTATTTCTGCTTTGGTTTTTATTACTTCTTTTCTTCTACTGGTTTTGGGGTTTTTTGTTGTTCTTTTTCTAGATCTTTGAGCTTCGAGATTAGGTTGTTTCTTTATTTCTTGCTTCTTGATGTGAGCTTCTATTGCTATATATTTTCCTCTTATTACTGCTTTTGCTGCATCCCATACATTTTGGAAATTGGTGTCCTCCTTGTCATTCAATTCAAAGAATTTTTTAATTTCTTCTTTGATCTCATTAGTCCAGTGGTCTTCCAGTAGTGTGGTTTTCAATCTCCATGAGGTAGGAGAGTTCCTTGCCTTCTTTTTATGATTTATTTCTAGTTTGATGCCTTCATGGTCAGAAAAGATGGTTGGTATGATTTCGATCTTGGTGTATCGGTTGATGTTTGTCTTGTGTCCCAGCATGTGATCGATCCTGGAGAATGATCCATGTGCGCTTGAGAAAAATGTGTACTCCTTTTTTGGGGGGTTTAGTGTTCTATAGATGTCTGTTAAGCCCAAGCGCTCTAGATCCTTATTTAGAGCTTTAGTGTCTTTACTTGTTTTTTGTCTTGTTGATCTATCCATTGTTGATAGTGGTGTGCTGAAATCTCCCACTACGTATGTGTTTTCTCTGATGTCTGTTTTCAGAGATGACAATAGTTGTCTGATATATTTTGGTGCTCCTTCGTTTGGTGAATATATGTTAATGAGTGTTATTTCTTCTTGAAGTATTGTCCCCTTGATCATAATGTAGTGACCGTTGGGGTCTCTTTTTATCTTTTTGAGTTTGAAATCTGTTTTATCTGATATAAGTATAGCTGTTCCTGCTTTCTTTTTTGGTCCATTTGCTTGTAGGATTGTTTTCCATCCTTTAACTTTGAGTCTATTTTTATTTTTTGTAGCTAAATGTGTTTCCTGGAGACAGCAAAAGGTTGGGTTTTGTTTCTTAATCCAGCCTGCAAGTCTGTGTCTTTTTATTGAAGAGTTTAGTCCATTTACATTTAGAGTTACTATTGATATGTTAGCATCTGTATTTGCCATTGTGTTTGCCTTTCCTTTGATTTTACTTACCTATTCTTTTAATAACTTTTTTTTTTTTTTTTTGGCCTTCTTTCGTTGTTATTCGTCCCTCTGAGGTTCTGGCTTTAGGACTCCTTGTAGTATTTTTTGGAGTGGGGGTTTAGTCATAATGAAACTCCAGAGTTTCTGTTTGTCTGGGAAGGTCCTTATTCTTTCTTCATAGAGGAAGGAGAGCTTTGCGGGATAGAGTATTCTTGGTTGGCAACTGTTTTCTTGGAGTCTGTTGACTATGTCCCTCCACTCTCTCCTTGCCCGTAGTGTTTCTTCGGAGAAGTCTGATGTCAGCCTGATTGGTTTTCCTTTGAATATTATCTGTTTCTTCCCTCTTGTCAGCTTCATTATTTTTTCCTTGTCCTGGATTCTTGGGAGCTTTACTATTTGTGTCTTGCTGTATTTTTCCTTTCGTAGTGGAAGTGTGGTGTTCTTCTTGCTTCTTGTATATCAATTTTCAGCTCCTTCACGTTTGGGAAGTTCTCTTCAATTATCTCCTTAAATATTTTCTCTGTTCCTAGGTCTCTCTCCTCTCCTGGTATTCCTATAACTCTTATATTTCCTTTCCTCATGGAGTCAGATAGTTCTCGAAGTGTTTCTTCTGTCTTTTTCCTTTGTACTTCTCTTTGCTTTTCTGTTTTGGTTCTTTTTATTTCTGTGTCTTCAAGAGTACTTATTCGTTCTTCCATTTCATCTATTCTGCTTTCATTGCTTTTCCCAGAGTTCTTTAGTGCCTCCATTAATTCTTTGACCTCCTGCATTTCTTTTACTTCCCTCTTTAGGGACTCAATTTCATTCTTCTGATCGTTGATTATTTTTCCCTTATCATTGTTTTCCTTTATGACTTCTGTCAGTTTTTTAATCATGGCAATTTTAAATTCTCTTTCTGGAAGGCTCAGAAGTTCTTCAAGTTACTGTCGTTGCAATCTGGGGGGTGGTTTCCTTTTTGTGGTGTGCTTTTTTCCTGAGGAGTTACTAGGTTGCGTGTGGTTCTTCTACTCCCTATTGTCTGTTTTCTAATTTGCCGTATGCATTGGGACACTGTGTTGCTGGTACTGGCTGGCATCTTGGGTGAACTTCTCCACTCCCCTCTGGCTCCTCCAGGAGCCATCTGTCTGTTTCAAGCAGTCTTTACTGAAGAAAGGTCCCTGTTCTAAAATGCTGATGCAGGGACACACTCCCCTACGTGCCTGGTCTGCACTGACAGCGGGTTCCCACTCCCCCTCTGGGCTCGGACTGCAGGCCAGAAGGGGCCTGGCGTGGGCGAACTTCCCAGCTCACCTCTGGCTCCTCCAGGAGCCTTCTGCTGGTTTCAAGTAGTCTTTACTGAAGAAATGTCCCTGTTCTAAAATGGTGATGCGGGACGCATTCCCTGCGCGCCTGGTCTTCCCCGGCGGTGGGTTCCCGCTCCCCCCAGCATTGTGAAGTCTTAAATGAAATCATTATGAGTCTTTAGTTCTGGGACCTCCCTGGTGGCACAAGGGATTAAGAAGTCTCAGCACTATCAAGCTATCGGCAGCCATTGCAACATGAGTTCAATCTTTGCCCAGAGAGCTGACCCACATGGCACAGCCGATCTCTCCCGTCTGGCTGCTGCTCCCCTCAGCAGCGTATTTCAGCCAATCCTCCTGTTCTGCTCTCCACTCTGTCTCTGGTGAATCCTCTCACCTCCCGCACCTCTGGCCTGCACCCCAGTTCTTGTATGCATAAAAATAAAATCTTTCAATAAAGAGTTTAATTCAGTATTTCCCAAAATTATTTTACTAAGTTATCCTTTTAAAGTAATATTTTCTACATTTGCAGATATTTTGGCAAATACTGAGAGAAACAGTGGCTTAAAATATTTCAGATTTACCTGTTTTTCAGTCATTAGTCTGTTTGATGATTTACTGGACTCCTGGGCTTTAGAGGCTGCTGGAGGTATAGTTTCTTTTGTAGAATCAGTATTTTTTTGGTAAGTAGATGTTGGCAATATAGAATTTTGAGTTAGCTAAGTTAAAAAGAAAAAAGTATAATACATGTCAAAAGAAGCTATATTTTAAGAAACCCATTACTCTTGGAGAGCAATATAGCCATTCGTATATTAAAATTTCTAGGACTTCTTCAGAAGCCAATTTTAAGTACAATTAGACTAAACCCTATCTATCAATGTTCTCTTCTACTAAAAAAATGTGGTTTTACACAGAGAAAAAAACCATTTGCTTTAACTATCAATAGATGTGAAAAGCACCTGATGCTAATAAACTGATGCAAAATCTTCACAAAATACTAACAATTTGAATTTAACAATACATCACAAGGATTATATATCATGATGAAGTATAATTTTCTCAGGGATGCAAGGGTGGTTTAATAAACATCAATTAAAGAAATATATCATAGCAATAAAAGATAAAAAGCATATGATAACATCAAAAGATACAGAAAAAGCATTTGATAAGATTCAGCACCACTGATTATAAAAACTCTAAATAAGAAGGGAATAGAAAGAACCTACCTCAATTTAATACAGACCACATATTACAAATCAGCAGCCAATATAAAACTTAACAGTGGAAAACTTCTTAACAAGACAAAGATGCCCAGTGTCACCACTTCTATTTAACTTAGTATAAGAGGTTTGGGCCAGAGCTATCAGATCAAAACAAGAAATAAAGTGTATCCAAGAAAAAAAGTGTAGCTATCATTTGCAGAAAATAAGATATTATATATAGAAAACCCACAATAGAGAAATATATCAAAATGGCAGTTTACAAAATCAAGATACAAAAGTCATCCATAGCATTCTTACATACAAACATGAACAAGAAAAAGAAATCAAGAAGGTAACTCCATTTACAATTTTATAATTTTTTCAAAAAGAATTAAATATCTCAGAATTAACTAAAGAGGTTACAAGAAGAATTACAAGATAGTATTAAAGGTCTTAGTGACACAAGGAGGTGGAAAGACATCCCATGCTCACAGATGAGAATCACTATTACCAAAATTACTGTCTGAAACAATGTATAAATTTAACACAATCCCCATCAAAATACTAACAATATTTTTTCAAAGACATTGAGCAAAAAATGTTGAAATTTTTATGAAATTATAAACGGCCTCAAATAGCAAAAGCAATCTTGAGGGAAAAAAAAAATGAAATGGAGGCATTAGGTTACTTGACTTCAACTTTACTAAAAAGCAACACTACTAAGAACAATATAGTACTGGTACAAAAGTAAGATACATGGATCAACAGACTAGAACTGAAAGTTCAGAAATAAATGCAGGCACATATCAGTACCTAATCTATGATAAAGCAGTCACAACCATACAAAGGGAAAGGGTCTATAATAAATTGTGCTGGAAGGCCTCCCTGGTGGCTCAAGGGGTTAAGCACAGCACTACGAGCAATCTGCAGCCTCTGCAGCATGAGTTCTATCCCCAGTTAGCCAGGGAGCTACCCACATGGCGCAGCAGACCTCTCCTGTCTCGCCGGCTGCTTCCTTCAGCTGTGTATTTCAGTCAGTCTGCCTGTTCTGTTTCTCCACTCTGTCTCTGGTAAATCCTCTCACCACCCGCACCTCTGGCCTGTACCCCAATTCTTTTAGCATAAATAAATCTTTAAAAATAAATAAATAAAAATAAATGGTGCTGGAAAAACTAGAAGGCTGTCCATAAAAGAATGAAGTTGAATCACTAACTCCATATACAAAAATACATTCCAAATGGATTAGAATTAGATATAATATCTGTAGCAATAAAATATGTAGACGAAAACATTTTGTTATGTTCCATGATACAAACAATAAAGATGTTTTTGGTGACCTGACCTCTATAGCAATGGAAATAGAAGCAAACAACTGGTCAATAGCCAAGATAAAGAGAAAATTCATACAATTCAACAACAGAAAAACAACCCAGTTGATAAATGGGCAGCAGATATAAACAGACAACTCACCAATGAGGATATCCAGAAGGCCAACAGACAATATGAAAAAAACGTTATCATTTTTAGTAAAAGAGATGCAGGTTAAAACCACAATGAGATACCATATCACAGCTGAGGTCCCCAAACAAGAAGTATGGAGAGGATGCCACTGTTGGTTGGCATATAAAATAGAAAAGCAATATGGATTTATCTTAAAAAACTAAAAATGAAAATACCATACAACCCAGCAATCCCACTTTTGAACGTCTATCTAAAGAATATAAAACCACTGATGCAAAAAAATATACCCTACAATGTTTATCGCAGCATTATCACAACAGCTAGGACATGGAAGCTAAATGTCCATCAGTGGATGACTGGAATCCATTGGTGGTATATTCATTTTATATATATACCAGCTGGAATACTACTCAGTACAAAGATGTAACAACTATTTACAGCAAAATGGAAGGAATCTGAGGGAACTATGTGTAGTAATGCAGTCAGAATAACAAATACTGGACATGTACATAGTGGATGATTAGACAGAGTAAAATACTTACAATAGTAGTGGACTTTAATACCCTGAGGGCTCTGAGGGTCCGAGACGGGGAGGAGTGAGAAAGCAACAAGGGGATATATGGGGAAAATTAAAAGATTATGCTAAGTAAAATAAGTTAGACAAAAATATTGTATGATTTTACTTAGACTAAAATAACAAAATGGTAGTTACCAGAAGGGAAGGGGGAGAGAAAGGGGGTGAGCAAATCAGGTAAAGGGGAGGATGGAAACTAGACTTTAGTGGAAATCGTGCTGTAGACCTGAAATCTATATAATGTTATAAACCAATGTTCAATAAAAAATTTTTAAGAGATAATATCAAATAAGGAAGCTCTCAAAGACTACTATGTTCATATCAAAAGGACAGGCTTGAACAGGCTAACCCCAGTAAAGGATAAGACATGAGTTTCAATATGGCAAAAATTATGACATAAAAGCCATCAAACATGTTTAAATACATGACATTATATTGCTATCTGATTTTTTTTTAATTTATTTATTTATACAAGCGCTGGGTCAGAAGCGCGGGAAGGTGAGAAAATTCACCAGAGCCAGAGCGGGGAACAGAACAGGCAGACTGATGAAATACACTGCTGAGGGGAGCAGTGGGCGGCAGGAGAGGTCTGCGTGCCATGTGGGACCCTCGCCAGTGGCCGGGGATGGAACCGGCACAGCAGAGGCTGTGGGCAGCTTTGCAGCCCAGTGCTCAACTGCTGTGCCACCAGGGGAGGCCCTAGCTGATTTTTTTTTTAAAGAATTATCTTTGGAAGGCAGGGAACCAATTCACTACCTTGAAAATTGTTAGGTAAATGGAAAAAATCTGGCATTTATGTTGTCTTTCCTAAGGGAACTGTACTGCTGCATATCCACATGATACATAAAAGACTAGCATTCCAACTAAGTGGGAAAAAAAATGATGGAATTAGAATACCACTATTTTGCAACTTTCAATGAATAGATACAGGCATCAAGTATCAAAGCTGCTAAGATTACAGAGAAACATTGAGACTGTATGCCTGCCTCCCACCGTCTTGCCACCACCTAGAGCACTGCAAAAAGTACTGAAACAGAGTGTGATCCAGTCTTGGATCCTGCTATTAATATGTTGGAATTAAACAGGGCAGAGGAACATACAGAACTGTGTACACAAGTACACAATCAGCTAAGTCCAGGTATAGGATACACAGGTCAAAATACCCAGGTTCTTTTACCCAGGTTTTTTTTTTTTTTTTAAAGATTTATTTATTTATTTATACAAGCACTGGGTACAGTCAGAAGCTCGGGAGGGTGAGAGAATTCACCAGAGTCACAGCAGGGAGCAGAACAGGCAGACTGATGAAGTACACTGCTGAGGGGAGCAGCGGGTGTGGCAGGAGAGGTCTGTGCGCCAGGAGAGGTCTGTGCGTGCCATGTGGTACCCTCACTGGTGCTGCAGAGGCTGCAGGCAGCTTCACAGCCCAGTGCTCAACGGCTGCGCCACCGGGGAGGCCCTACCCAGGTTCTTTATCAGACAGATTATAAGGAAAATAAAGGAAGCAGAAAGGCCTACAGCTTAAAAAAGTTTAAAAATTATTTTAATGGGAAAGGCCACATTATGGGGCCTAGGAATACACATTTATGATAAAACATGTTTAAAAACACAGGAAGAAAGTTAACAGTCAGGAAACTGTCTACTAACAGGAGAAGAGAAGCAGTTGTAATTGGGACAGGGTAACGGAGGGGCTCTGGCATGGCTAGCATGGTTCTACAACTTGACCTTCATTAAAAGACCTCATCTTTTAGTAATTCATTAAACTATACATTTGGTACATGTGTTCGTTTGATTTCATAATAAAAATTTTATAATAAAGATGTTGTAACTTAATAAAAACAAAAGCAAAGGAAATACTACATGAAAGGAAGTACCACCCTGGAGCATCAAGACTGCCTAGGTTTGAATTGTGGATTCTGCCACACACTCAAGAAAGTACTAATCTCTCTGTGCCTCAATTTCCTTACCACAAAATGATTATAACTATAGTATTTAGCACATAAGAGTTGTTGTGAAGATTGGAATAGTTAATATAAAAATGAAATAGAACAATTATTTTCCTGGTACTCAGCAAGACAGGGGTGGTGAGAGTTAGTGACCATTTTGTGTCATTTTAAGTATTTACTTAACCTCTATGGATTTGTTTCCTTAATTGAATTTAAAACATCTACCTGAAAGGATTATCAAGAAGGCGGGGAGAGAGAGGAGAACTAAGAGCGCTTTGGTGGTGGATGCAGGTGAGCTACAGTGACTACACCTGAAGGCGGAAAGCCTATACTTCCAAAACACAATGATGTAAGCCAATGGTACTTAAAAAAATTATTAAAAAAAAAAAAAAAAAAAAAGGATGTCGAAGAAGTCTAAGGCCATTAAGAAAGTAAAATTCATGCACATCTACCACACCTGACCACATAATCACCCTGGACAAACAAGCATCCTGACACCCAGTTTGAGGAATTTGGAAAAAGCAGTTCCAAAAGTCATAAAAACTGATAAACACTACCAGAACTCTGCCTCAAACCATTATCACTCCACCACCCTTTAGGCATCCTTCCCTTCTGCATGTTTTTCTTTCCCCTTTTAAAGAATTTTATTACTTTACCTGTGGGGGGCAACTGCCTATTTAAGCTTTGTATTTTTCCCTCCACACTTTGAGCACTTACACAGGTTTGCTAAGGGTGCCCCCTGATTGCAATTTCCTACAGACCTCAAATAAAAGCCTTCCTTCCATTTACAGATTTACTGAATCACAGTTGAGTGGATTTTTTTTTTTTAATATAGGCATGTTTTATTTATTTATTTGTTTCTTTGTTTGTTTTGTTTATACATGCACTGGGTACAGTCAGAAGCGCGGGAGGGTGAGAGAATTCACCAGAGCCAGAGCGGGGAGCAGAGCAGGCAGACGGACAAAGTACACTGCTGAGGGGAGCAGCAGGAGGCAGGAGAGGTCTGCGCGCCATGTGGGACCCTCCTCCGGTGGCAGGGGAGCAGCCAGGGATCGAACCGGCACTGCAGAGGCCGCGGGCAGCTTCGCAACCCAGCGCTCAACCGCTGCGCCACCGGGGAGGCCCCTTGAGTGGATTTTTTAATATTACTATAGTATTTAGTAAATATTGATCCTTCCTATGGCCTCCCAACATCCAGACATCGCTCAAGTTTGACATACCTCAGTCATAGTGAATTCCTCTGGTACTTTTCACTTATTCAAGTTGATTTCAAAGAAATGATCATCCAGTGAGTCTCATGTCTGAAAGTACATCTTCATCTAAGTTTTAAAAAGATAAACAGACCAAAATCTTAAAATGGTAGTGCTCCTAGTAAAAATGATCTTGTGTTATTCCAGAGAAGCTATCTATGGTACTGGTAATCCCTGAATTAGAACACTGAACTAGAAGTAACTAGTAATGGACTCCAATGCTCACCACCCTTCTCTTCTTTTCCCTTCATGTCTTTCCTCTCCCTGTTTTGTTGAAACATTTTAGCTGGGAGTCCACATCTGTCATCATCAAATTTGACTTGGGCCCCAAAGGAAGAATATTCTCTTCTGCAAAGGTACTAAAAATGAAGCACTATCAGACAGAAAAAAAATACCACTGAACACAAAAGGTAAAGGCAGGAAGAAAAACTATCTCCTCAATTCACCAAGCACTCCTTTCCAGAAGTCTGTGCTATGAAATTAATGTGTCAGTTTACAGCAGACTTTCCCCACTTTGGGCTACCACAGGACACACAGGTCTGGAACTGTGAGTCACAGGAAGAGACCAACTGTTTCCCAAGGCAAAGGCAGAAGGCATAGCTCCAATCTAAACTAAGACTGGGAATAGAGTGTAGTGTAAGTTATGCTCAGGCTTTTACACCGCGGTCTCAGTGGCTATCACCTGCAGCCTTGAATGCAGAAGGCACTTGGGAGAGTGGGCTAGGTACATGCATGCCTGATGGTGGACACCTGGTGTATGATGTGGGCATGCATAAGTGGGAACACCTGAGCCTGGAGGTGATCAGAGCTGTCACTCAGACACAGGAGAATGGCCATGGTGTAGCAGCTGCTGAGAGGAGGAACGATGGCTGCAAGAGGAGGAGACTTGCCCCACAACAACTGGTACAGAAAGAGCATTAAAGCCTGAAAAGCCACTGACGCCACCAGGACTCTCCATCTGCCCAAATCCACAGAGAACCTGCCCTGTGCTTGCTAGCACTGCAAGAGCTTACAGGGTAAGAGTTGGCTTATGCATGACATAAGTGGCCATGTGCAGAGAAGCAAAACACAGCTGAACTATCTACTGGCACTGTCCAGGTTTCCTAAGAGTTCTTTGGTAACTTGTCCTTCATAGGTCTGAAGGCCTTGTAACATGCATGATACATTCAAATGTAATTATTTTCACTACTTTTTTGGGGAAAAACTAGAAACAACCAAGCATGACTAGAAACTGTACTTTCTTGAACAACACCAAAATCTGTAATCTACTTTCTCAAAAGTATACATTTCACATCACTGCAATAAATGGAACATGCAATACTTTCAAAGTCTCAACACTTTCAAAGTCTTTAGCAATTAAATGCTAAAGCCAACATGCTGTTTAATGTTCCTAAGAAGGAGAGCTTCTACCACAAACAAGGAATTGCAGTTACAATTGGATATGATCTCCACTAAATCATTCTGTCCCAGGAGAGGTTGCATAAAGGGCCAGAACACGCCTTTCCAAAGCCCAAGGTGCAGGAAAACATAGCCAGCCACCTGTTACCCAAGGTGGAGCGGGGAAGGTCCGGGTCTATTTGGCAATAACAAAATTAAAAGAAAACGTAGGCAGAGAACGGAAACCAATATGGGATAGGGAAGCAGTGTTTAATGTTACGGTTGGGAATAAAGTGGCAAAACTTAGAGATTGTTCCGTCTCTAAGTAACAGGTCTCTTATTCTTCAGACATTTCCACCTCGTTGATTTTCTTAAAAGAATGAAATTAGATTCGGCATGAAGGCAGAGGCCCCCGGAATCTACACTATACCTAGTAAACCTGAAAAGGGACTCACCTAACCCTTCGCCTATCCTTCCAGCTGCTGTTCTAAGTCTTCACTAGGCCAAGCAGCCTTCTCAGACACCTTAACACGGAGCAGTGCAGCGGGTTAGTCCCGGTGTACACGAGCGGTTGGTAATCTACCGACAATTTATACCGAATCCAGCCCGAGTCCACCAGGCATCATCCTAAACTTTACATTTACTGCCTCATTTAACCTCACCCACCATCATGTAAGGCAAGAACTACCCGCTGCAATACACAAGTGAGGAAACTGAGGCACTACAAAATTCACTGAGAAATCAAAAATCACAAAGCAGGGAGGGAGTCGGGACTCGAACCAGCTGTGTAAGGTCCCTACAGCCTCATGCTGGGATTAACTAGCGCGAACTCGACCCAGGCGGCTCCTGCCCGGGGAACCCCCCCCCCCAAAAGCTCAGTCTGACCCTTCGCAGGGCCCCAGTGAGGCCAACGCCTGGGTGCTTCAAAGAGGGGCTTTAGTAAACGGCCGTGTGAACCCCGAACGCCACTCACCTTTCTCAGCGGCCGCCTCCCACCAGCAGCTCGCCCCGCGGGCCAAGCTGCGCCGCCTCCCGCCCCGCCCCCGTGACCGTTACCGCGCCCAGGGAGGCGGGCAATTGAGCCCGAGCGCGCGGAGGGGCCGCCTGGGCTCGGCCTCCCAACGCCAGGAGCGTTTGGCGCGGCCGCGCGGGGAGGCCGGTGGCCACGTGCCCCCTGATTGGCTCCGTCGCTGGGGGCGGGGCTTACTCGTCACTGCTCCGCGCTAGCCATCTGCGCCTGCGCGCTGCCAACGCACTTTCGACAAACTTCGGCTTCCCGGATGCGTTTACCTAGAAAGCGCTTCGTTGCTTGGAAGACAACAACTCTGGGGGTGGTGAATGAAAGGGAAGTTCCGGACGCTTGGGCAGGTAGACTGCCCTCCGCGCAGGAGTAGACAGCCTTGGCTGAGGGCTTGCTGCTTGGCGCTCAACCTGGTCTCTGTTCGGGACCTGACAGACCACGGCAGCACCTCACTTTGTGAGACAACCTAGGTGAAAACAATTGCCAGTGGGTAGGATGAGTTGCCCCAAGTCCCGTTTGAACAGGTGGTCTGAATCATGGACTGAGGAGCCCTGTCCAAACAACTTGGTCCACTGCACTGACCCTAAGGTGGCATGATGGACAACGAGCATTAGAGCTTGACTGATTATCCTACATTAGGTGGGAGAAAGTGTAGGATAAGCGAAAACGCATCAGGCTTTTGTGCCCTCCCGCTATTAGGATAGATGATGGATCCTTGCGGTCCTGAATGCATGCCTCATGGCGGCCCCTGGAGTAGGGTGTGGGTATGCGTAAGTGGGTACACCTGGGCTAAGACTGGGCTTATAAGGGTGGCATCACAGGGACGCCAGCAGAAGCAAAGAGCAGAAGAACCATGAGGAGAGCCCAGATACAGTGAAGACTTGCTGGGGGGCTGGGAGGCCTGCGAGCCTCCGGCCCCCCAGCACCCCTGCCTGCTGTGTGCCTGTAAATCCCAATAAAAGCCTGCAAAAGCCACTGAGGCCTCCATGACTCTCCTTTACCCCATCTGCTCGGATCATAGAGATCCTGCTCTGGCCCATTCCTGTCCTTACAGAAGGGTATGAAGGGTAGTAGTGCTACAGAGCAGCCCCGATATAAAACGGGTTGCCTGGCTGTGGGTCCTCACCCACCGCTTAAAAGGGACTTATTAATACTCCACTGCAGACATACACAAAAGGTTAATAAAAGGTTTATTTACAAGGGAAGGGGAAATAAGGAAATGTACAACTCAGGGAGAAAATAGGGAAATAAAATCTTATGCGTCCTACCCGATCCGCCAACCTGGAAACCCAGTGGCACCCTGAGAGCTGGCTGAGAGCCGCGAGCTGGCGGAGAGCCAAAAGGGCCCCCCCCCCCCCCGGCCCCAAGACCACGTATCTGGTTTTATACCAAACCTGGCTGCTTAACTCCACCCTCAGGTTCCAGCCACCTTCCCTTTGGTGATTGATGGGATTTGTCTTTCCCAATGTCCTGATGGCTTTGGCCTGGGGTGGGGGTGGAGTCCACAAAGCCTGTATGGAATTGTTATAGGACAGGGAGAGGGGCAGCCCAAACCCCGCAAACCTGCCTATTCTAAATGGGTTCTGCCATCCGCCGCATCAACACAAAACATATGAGACTTTAATGGGAAGGATCTTTAATAAAACTAGGAAACAATACAGGTAAGGCAAAGAGTCCAGTTTCTACATGAAGCACCCAAAGTTACCCGTCCCCTCGTGGGTAAAACTCCATCCATATGGGATTGGCCCAGAGCAAGGCCCCAAAGCCTGCCACAAGTCTAAAGCATCTTCCAGTGGGGACCCACAGAAAAGGGTCAGAAACAACCAGACAAGCCCGGAAGGAAAAGAGCAAAATCAACATCAAGATAAAAGCTGCCATTGTCACCTCCCCATGGGTCTCACCCACATCTGTGTCACCCCGTCCACGACCAAAAGACAAGCGCAGCTTCTTCACGTGTCTCTAGGCTCCATGCGCCTCCTCCAGGTCTCCTGGCTCCATCCTGCTTCCTTCCTCAGTCTCTTCTTCTGCTTCTCCTCTTCCTGCTCAGCTCCACCCTCCCTTGGGTGGGGCAGGGAACCTCCCCCTTTCCTGGGGACCACCCTGTTACAGAATTAGCTTTAGGACATCCTTTTACCCCTAACTATTCCCCCCTTTCATTTTTTTTTTTTTAGATTTATTTATTCATATAAACACGGTACAGTCAGAAGCGCAGGAGGGTGAGAGAATTCACCAGAGCCAGAGCGGGGAGCAGAGCAGGCAGAAGGACCGAAGTACACTGCTGAGGGGAGCAGCGGGCGGCAGGAGAGGTCTGCGCGCCATGTGGGACCCTCCTCCGGTGGCCGGGGAGCAGCCGCCGATCGAACCGGCGCTTCAGAGGCTGCGGGCAGCTTCAGAACCCAGCGCTCAACCGCTGCGCCACGGGGGAGGACCCCCCTTTTCACTTTTTGCCACCATTTCCGTGGTGAAGATCGAATATATGGATGTTAGGATGCAGTCTCATGAAAATTTTTTTTGTGTGGGACCCTTGCCAGCGGCTGGGGAGCGAACTGGCGCTGCAGAGGCTGTGGGCAGCCTCGCTGCCCAGCGCTTAACCGCTGCGCCACCAGGGGAGGCCCTCAGATGAAAATTTTACTGGGTTCCAGTGTGAGGGGAGGCCGGTCCCTCTGGGTGTAGAACCCTGAGCAAGCCATGACGCTGCACTCCTCCCATCCTCATGGACTTATCTTTTTTTGTGGGGCCCTCGCCGGTGGCTGGGGATAGAGCTGGCGCTGCGGAGGCTGCCGGCAACCTCGCAACCCCCGTGCTCAACCGCTGCGCCACCAGGCGAGGCCCCCTAAAGGACTTATCTTTAAAGTACCTCCTAACTCCTTTAGAGCAGCCAGGCTAAACTCTTCTTTCTGCCTTTCCTCTCTCCCCCACCTGCCACCCATGAATCTCTAA